AATAATCTTTTGCATCTCCGTTTTTCTTCCTTTTACATTCTTCACTTCACTCACGTGCGGAAAACATGTATATATATATATATATACAGCACACAGTCCATTTTTGACTTGAAGTATCGCACGGCAACACACGGTGAGAGTGTGAGCGAAGACGCAGATGGAGCAGGGGGAGGTGGGCAGCGCGGCAAAGATGGCGCAGAAGGCGATGGACGCATCCACCAAAGTCTGCGCAGTTGCCCGTCCCGCCCTTCAACAACACTGTTTTTTTTTGTCACAGTCGTGGGGTATGTGTGTGTGTGTGTGCAGTGTCATGGGCAAAGCTCGCCGTAGTCATCTAGCGCCGGCCTTACGGACGTCATTTCGACCGAACAACAGGACTCAGCGCCCTGCGGCGAAGCGGGCTCGTGGACTGTGCCCCCGCCAGTCTGCTGCTCCGGCAACGCCGCGGCGAGCTCGCATGGGGTATCGGGTGCGCCCTCGTACAGGGCGTACATGCTGCTACGGAATTCCACGAGCGAGAGCGCGTTAGCCTTGCTACTCTCGCACGGGTGACGCAGCAGCAAGCCGCGCTGGCAGAGGCCCCGCATCTCCGCCGGGAGGCCCGCTGGAATCACGCTGCCCACGGGGACACTCACCTTCACAAACGGCAGGCCGTCGGCCGCGTCGTCAGCCGCGGCAGCGGTATTGTCGCGGGCGTCCTCCGCCGCGTTGAAGACGCACGCGGCGAGGTCCGCCTGCCGCTCCAGGAGGCGGTACGGGGGCTCGTTGCGGACGAGCGCAAGGAAGAGCTGCGTGAGGACGTAGCTGACCGGGCTGGCGGCGTGCGGGTGCGGCAGCCAGCGGCTGAACGGGCCGCCCTCAACGTACACCGGCGGGGCGTACATGACGGCGAAGTCCCCGAAGTCCGGCAGCTGCACTTCCCGCGCCTCCCCCGCGCGGGAAATGGGACGGAAAAAAGTGTTCGACGGCGACACCGCAAGCCAGGCCGCGGCCAGCTCAAACGGCACCTGCATCTCATCCATCAGAATATAATGCAGCGCGTCCGCCACCTGAAGGGTGACACCGACGGCCTCGCGAATCGTAAAGCGTCGACGCTGCACGAACAGAATTTCGTGCAGGGAGCGGTAGACCACCGCACCCGTGCCGTGGGGGTTGCCGTCCACGGCAGCCTGCGCCGTGGGCGCGGTGACATCCTCCATGATGATTCCGAGTGCCGGCGTGGGTGTCGCAGAGGCCGAAGAGACGTCCCCGTCGTGTGGCGACATTTTCTCCGTGAAGGCTCCAATAAAGGGAACGAGATTTGGGTGCGACCAAGTGACGCGGGTAGCCATATCCTGCACAAAGATCATGACGTTTTCGGGGGAGATGCGCTGCCCACCCACCTCCTCAAGTTCATGCAGCACCACCGCCTTGCCCCTGTAGCGGTACCCGCTGTGCACATCAAACACCAGATGCGCATTCCTCGACGGTGCCGCCTCCCTGCATGTGGCACCGTTGGGCGGCGTGAGCTCCTCGAATGGCACTTTCCAGCCACCCAACTGGTGCCGACGGAAGACGTGAATCACCTGCTCCACCGTCAGCCCAGACGCCTGCAGCGAGGACCCTTCACGAGCGTTCGTGACGCAGGGCGTCGGGAGGCACGCGCCGCCCTGCACGAGCCCCACGTAGATGGCGGCGTTTTCCACCTCATCCTCGCCGATGGCGGCCTTGTGCTCCGCCGTCCACGAGGCCGTGGAGTGCAGCCGCCAGACCCTCTTGATGCGCTCAAAGAGCCCGGTGAAGACGGCGACGCAGGTAAAGTGGCTCAGCAGTAGCGTCTTCCACCCCTCAGTCCACATCCGCCGCACCAGCAGGTCGGCCGCGGCAAAGACTGTTAGCAGCTGCAGCGACGGCGACGCGTCGGCAAGGCGCGACAGGGTGTGAAAGATGTGTTGCAGGCGAAGGGCGACCAGCGCACACTGCGCTCGATTGATGCATGCCGCCGGCGCGCCCTGCTGGATCTGGCGCATGTGCCTCTCAAGTGCCTTTGTACGAGCCGGGCCGGTGGCCGCGTAGCTCATCGCATTCGCCGCCGTCACACTCCCAGTCCCGCCATCGGTTATCATCGCGCCCGATGGCACCCAAGCGAGAGCGAAGGAAACAACAACAACAACAACACACACACACAGACAGACACAGGAAGAAAAGAAAACTAAAAAAAAAAGACGGAAAAAAAACCACCCACGTGCACAAAATTCCTTTTCCCCTATTACTTTTGTGTGCCTTTTGCGAGAGCGACAGACGGGCAACGGCATGTAAAGAGGGAAGCCCAAACACGCATGCATAGATGCATGCAAAGAGAATGAAGTACACGGCCCGATACGGTCCCACGCCTCCCACACACCTCCTCAGCAACACACAGAGACACACACACAGAAAGCAGATTATTATTATTATTTTTTTTTTCGCGGGTGTGTCGAAAATAAAAATACTGGACTTTGAACGCCATCATTGGCACGGCGTTTTTTGGGGAAATAATAATATACTGGCGGAGTTCCACGTCAAGCGGCTTACAGTCGCAGCGGCGGACAACTGAAGAAAGCCTCTGCAGGCTCAAGGTAGGAATGGGGATCGATGCCCAGAGGAGAAACGGCCTTGGACTCACTTCCGCCCTCATCATTGGAGAGACCACGCGTGAGAGATGAAACCCCCCTCTCTCTACTCCTCGGTAGTGACAAGGCAGGGGCTGCCGTGCGCGGCAAGAGGTCCCGGGCAATGTGATGGACATAATCCTTGCCAGCTGGAGCACAGGACTTGTCGTGCCGCAGCATCCGCTCGATGGAGTCCTCCCACATTACCGGAGCAGCGCGGTTGGCCTCACGCGGTGGGGTGGCTGGCGTGTTCCCGCGGGCCGAACCACCGCCCTCGCCGTGATGGAAGCCCTTCGCCACTTGCGCCGGCGAGAGGAGGGGGCGGCGGCCTGACCACCGCGACACCGCACCCGAAGGCGTCGCGGCCTTTTCCCGCACGGACTCCTCGTCCCCGGCCACGAAGAGGCAAGAAGGCGCCAAGGGAGAGGAGCAGGAGGGCGAGGGAGATAAAACGCGTGGCGAGTGACCCGACGCCTCTGGTGGTCGTGGATGCCGCTGCGCCGCGTCACTCCGGCTGGCCGTGGGGTCCGCAGGCACGTTGCGGCGGACTGGCGGTGGGCGCCTGCACGCGAGCTGGTGGCAAGGGAGCATGTGCTCGATGAGCCCGCGCGGGTCACCCACCTCCGCCCACACCGCGGCGTACGGAAGTCGTGGCATATCCGCAGGCGGGGGCGACGCCGGTGGGGCGGCGGCCGGCAACCGCACGAGGCCAAAGTCGCGGTGGACGCGCACAAAGTCCGAGCCTGTGGCCGGCAGCGGAGACGCGGGCAGCGTCCCACTCGCCGCGGCCACGGTGCTCCCGGCGGCGACGGCGGAAAGAATTCCCAGGAAGACGCGCTGAATCGCAAGCGGGGACTCATTCTCCGGCACAAGGCGGAGGAGCACGTCCGCCCCACTCGGGACGCGGGCAATGCCAGAACCCAGCGGAGACTCACGCAGCCGCACCCACACCCACGCGTCTTGAATGACGCCCACGGCAGCCACATCCGTCACGGGCACACGGCGCAGCAGGTTGGCCTCCGTGTCGCAAAGGTACAGCGTCGTCCACGTCACCATCACAACAGCCCGGGTCGTGCACGCGGGGTGTTGCTGCCGTGGCGACGCCTCTTGCACAGTGCCACCGTCGTCGTTGTGACTGTCATCCGGCCACCCTGGCCTGCGGGTTGTGCGGCGCGGCAAAGGTTTCCCGCGGGGACTGAGTGAAGCGGTGCCGCCTCCCCCACCACAGTTGTTGGCCTCGGCGGCAGACGCCGCCGCGATGGCGAGCTCCACCTCAGCCAGGAAGTACACGCACGCGATGCCATCGTCCTGCTCCAAGAGCGCCTGAAAGGCGCCATGGCGGCAGCTGGGCAGCCACCTGTAGTCGGCAAGCACCAGAGAGGTGGCGCACTCAACGGGGTCCGGCCAGCGCGTGCTTGCCGCCATTTGCCGCTCGCGCGCAGACTTCCACGAGACTGCCTTGACGCCGCCGCCGCGGCGCGCCTGTGTGTGTGTGTGTGTGTGTGTGTCCCGCAGCGGCTCCTGCAACCTTCTCCGAGGCACGCGGCAGAAGACGCAGGCGCCAGGCCAATAAACACCACCCCGAGCGCAACAATTTGGGCAGGAAGAAGAGTGCGAGAGATAACACCCAACAAGCCCGCAGAGAGACAGCGGGGTCACTCACGTGGTTCAACGGCCAAATGGCGCGAGAAAAAAAAAGAAAAAAAATTAACGTCCTCCACAGCCGGCCTCTTAAGATTCAGCCAAGCGGTGTAAAGAAGCTCGCCCTCACGCCTTCCTCCCTCGTCGCTAGTAAAAGTCCTCTTCGCCAAACTCAACGGGCTGAGCAACGGCGGTTGCCGCCGCCGTCGTGCTCTGAGTTACCGCCGCATTTTGCCCCGCGGCGTCGTCGCCCTCCGGCCGCGTCGCACGGCGGCTGCGCAGCTCCACCTCCCCCGCCTGAACGTAGTGCACCACAGCGGCGATATCGCGATCGCCCATCCCCGCATCAGAGGCGGCCGCCAGTGAACGAAGCGCCGTGTCCAAGACGGGGAAGGGCTCATCGACTTCTGCGCCTTCTGCCGCGGCGGCCGTCGGCGTTCGCTTCGGCAGGGACGCATCAAGGAGAGCGAGGTCCTCTAGCAATCGGTCAACGCTGGCGGTGGAGGTCGGCGGGGCCTTGTCGGGGTTGCGCACCAGGTCCTGCAGCAACGCCGCGTTGCGGCGCAGCATCGTACTCGAGCCCCACGAGGCATCCAGCACCTGGACGAGTTTGTTTTGATCCTCCACGCCCAGTCGGTGCGCCATGAGCAGCGCCTCGGCGGCCGCCGCGTTGTGCGAGGCGACAAGGGCCTGCGTAATCATCTTGGTCGCCGACCCACTGCCGCTGGCGCCCATGTGATGGACGTTGTCGGCGTACATGTGAAATATCGGCAGCATCTTTTGAAACGACTCTGCGTGGCCGCCAACCATCAGCACCAGCTGGCCGTTAAAGCAGGCGCGCGGGCTGCCGCTCATCGGGGCGTCCAGAAAGTACGCACCCCGCCTCTCGGCCTCGTACGCGCACTCGCGAGACGTCTCAATGTCCACCGTGGTGTGATCCACTATGATCTGGCCCTTGCGTGCGTTGCGAAGGAGTGCCTCGTCGTCCTCCAAAAGGGCATGCCGTGCCGCATGCACGTCAGCCAACACCAGCAGCATCACATCGCACCACTTCGTCATGGTCGCATAGCGATCATGGATGCGCATGGCACACGAAGCGCCATCCACCGAAAGGTCGTCGCAGACGCGGCGAGCCTTGCTGAGCGTGCGGCTGTGTATCTGGAGGTACATCGCGCTGCGGGCCTTGAAGCCGAGGTTGCGGGCGATGGGGACGCCCATGTTGCCCATGCCCACCACGCCGACGTTCAGTGAACGCTTGATCGCCGCCATCGCTCACACCAGCAGGGCGGCGTCCTCCCCGGAATGCCTCAAATTCCCTCTGCGGGAGAAAAATGTCCCAGCCTGTGCCCCACTCACAACGTAAAAAGTGTCCGCTTCATGCATGAGGAGAAGAGAGAAAAGGCACAAGTGATCGCAAAAAAAAAAAGACACCGGGAGTGGCGGCAGCCGAGAACAAAATCCCCCGCGTCCCCCGGAAAAAAACGGGGGAGTCAAAACAGGGACGCGTGAAGGCCGCACCGCGCCCTCCCTGTGGGGACAACGCAAAACAACAACGAAAACAATACATATATATATATATATATCGGCGAAGCACCCACGAACACGGACAGAATGCGTGGGGCGAGAGCGAGTGTGTGCAGATGGATGAGGCCGTCCTGACGCACATTTCATTAAATATTTCGGACCGACCACCCCCCAACACACATGCAGCAACCCGCCTTTCCCCCGCTCGTCTCCCTCCCCGCCCTCAGTGGCCGGAAACAAGCGCACGCCACACACGCCTCATCCTGCACCGCCACCCCAATTGCCAGGCCGGCAGGGAAGGAGGGAGGGAAGGGGAAATAAAATACGTTTTCATTTTTCGTCGTTGTCGTCGTCGTCGTCGTCGTCTTCTTACTCCTGCCTGCATTTCTTCTTACGTAATCCTCCTCGCCTCCTCACGATGGTATATATATATATATACGCGTACAGATGCTGCGCGCGCGTGCTCCCGCAGTCAACACCCGTCATTTGCCTACGCCTTCAGTGCGGCTATGCGCCCAGGATGACGTTGTTGATGGGGATGAAGATGACCTTGACGAAGAAGCCTAGGAAGCCCATGATAACAAACCCCATCAGCGTCGCCATGCCCGCCGTGGTGAACTCGCTGTAGTTCGGCTTCTGGCACTTGCGCACGAGCATGCGGCTGTTGCGGGCGAATGCCGTGATGGGGTGAAAGACGGTCTCGTCGAGAAAGTCCATGGCTTTGCCGCGCTGCTTCCCTCGTGCTGGCTGGTGCTTGGTCTACCGACGCGGGTGCCTAACAACGGACGCACACCTTAGCCTTGCCTTGCCTTGCCTTGCGCAAACTCTCCTGCGGCGTCACCGATGCAGACGGGCAAAAAACAAAACAAAACAAAGTGATGATAACAGGGGCATAGAAAAGAAGAAGGGACGGTACATGCATGCATGCATATATACATATATACAGTTTTATTCCGCGCCCTGCTTTCCTTCCCCCTCCACGGTGTCAAGCTGCGTTCGGCGGCCGCCGCGGCCTCCCGCCACGGTGGCGAGGACGCAGGCGTGCGGGTGGTGAAGCGCGGCGGCAACCGCGTGTCTCCCTCGCCTCCCCCGCCGTCACCAAAAAGCGTCGCAACACACACAAGAAAGGAACAAATAAATATTGAAAAGGAAATGGTGCAAGTAATAGCAACAAGACGAAAAACACGAGAGCAAACAGACCTCCTCCCCCCTCACCGCCAGCACCGCCTCAGCCTCACACTCTCCGTGCACCCGTGCGTGTGTTGAAGGGAGAGGAGGACGGGGGCCGAAGGGGCCCCAATGAGAAAATTTTTCTTCCTGCCCTGTTGTTGCTCTCCCTTCTGGATGCATGCATTGTTGCCTTCGGCCCTTCCGCGCGCCTTCACCGTCAGCTCGTTCCTTTTCGTGGCACCGGTGGACTCGCGTGGAACAGACTCCTTTTCCCACACACACACCCCACGCGCGCGTGGAGCCAAACGGGGGATCGCAAGCAGAGCCCCTCTTCCTGCTTGGCTTGTCCCTCCCGCACGCCCCACCACCACACCCGGCCGCCCGCTCTCTATGACGTCTATGCTGTGCGCACGGCTCGCATACACGCAGACATACACACCCACACATGTACTTCAATCAACGTGTGTGCATCTCCGATGAAACAACAAGGACAAAATCACTCCCCCCCTTTTTTTCCCCCATTACTGAAGCGAATGTATCCTTCCTTTTTGTTTTATTTTTTTTTCATTGCCTTTTGACTGCTTTTGTTGTTGCTGTGACCACCTGATTTCAATTACCCCTCCACTTCCTCCTTTTTCCTTCACTGGATAATGCATTAGCAGGCACCATAGCGACACGCACACATGGAGCCGCATCCGTCATAAATGGCATCGCCCCAAGTGTGTAGGATGCAGGCACGTGCATATTGCACCTGTCTTCCTACCATGATTCCTCTCCTCCTTTTGTTACCTTTACAATTGCAGCGGGCTCCTGAAACAAACAAAAAAAACATTTCACGTCGCGCTGTGCGCTCTCCTCATCGCCTTCCTTACCCCCATTCCCTCCTTGGCCGTCGGTGCCACCTGCGAGCCCCTCAAACCCGCCTACTCCACGTCTATAAATGCACCAAAGAACCCTCGCCCTTATCTACTTACCCATTTTTTTCTCTCCTCTTCTTTTACGTACTCCTTTCCTCTATAACATCCCGCGGCCCCCGCCTCCTGCGGAGAGACGCTCTGACAGGCGCTGCCTCGTCCTTGCCTCACTGGGAGGTTGGCATCAGATCCCCGGCGTAGAACTCCTCCTGGGCGTCCAGCGCGTCGGTCTCATCCTGCTGCAGCAGCGGCTCCACATTCGCGTCGTGGTTGGGCAGGCAGAAGAAGACCACGCTGCAGCGGCTGCGGCCCTCCTTCACGTTTCGCACGCGGTGTGGTGTGGCCTCCAGCAGTCCGCCGGTCCATTTTTCCAGGAACATGCCCGCGTTGACGAGCAGCGCGTCGTTGAGGACAGGCACGGCGACGTACTTTTCCTCCTCGTCGTCCCACACCTCGAGCCCGCCGAGGGCGTCCTGCGCTAGGAGGGTGATGGTGCTCAGGTCCTTGTGTGTGTCGAGGCGGACGGTCACGTCTCCGCTTGCCTCCGCCGCACCTTCCTTCAGCAGGGGCTGGGCGAGGGCGCCTTTGCGGCGCAGCACTTTTGCCCCATGCGGGTTTGCGGCGGAGCGCGCGTTTTTAATCTCCACACCGTTATTCATGCGCGTCACCTGCCCAAGCTGCGGGTAGTACTTTGCCTGCAGGTCAAAGTCCAGCTTGTTGTGAAAGGGGGTGAAGAAGTCGAGGTCGTAGCCGCTCTCCGGGTCCGGACCGCCCTGCGGATTCGATGGGCGCACGCCTAATCCGCAGCTGATGTGCCGCAGCACGTCCAGTGAGACCTCGGCGCAGAGGTCGTAGTAGGCCAACATCATCTCGCGGTAGTCGGCCATGAAGGTGTCGGTGCTGGGGCTGCCCGTGTCGACGTGGGGGCGGTTAAGCAGCACCTGCCAGGGCGTCTGTCGGCTAATGAGCGGCTTGTACTCCTCCTCGCTCCAGCCGCTCAGTTTGTAGTACGCCTCGCGCAATTCCGCCGGGGCCTCCACCTCGCGACCGATGGAGAAGCACTCAATGGCGTCATCCAGCCCACTGGCGCCGACGTAGCGGTAGTAGCCACGAAACCCGGAGGGCGTCTTGATGCTCTCCAGCTCGTACGGCGAGAGAGGCATGAGGGGCGGCTGCTGCTGCGCGGCGACGGCGGTGCCCACGATGTAGCGTTCAAAGAAGATGCGGTTGTCGCGGTGAAGCTGATCCAAGATTTCCTTTTGAATGAATGGGTGCTGCACGTAGCAGTAGCCGTGCAACTGGAGCGACTCCAGGAGGGCGTTGCTAGCCGTCTCCGTCACGTTCTCCGCCCCACGGCCTATCTTGACGAGCGTTGAGAGGCGGCATAGCGTGCGACGCATCCTTCCCTGCTCTTTTTCTTCCTCTTCCTTTACTGCGCCTCGGCCTCACCCCTTTCCCCTCCGGTCGGCAGGAGTGTTTGTGGCGACGGTGGCGTGTGTGTGGCTGCGCTTCCCAGCACGCGCCGCTACTCAAGAATTAAAAAAAAAACTCTCCTGCTCGCCGTCTCCTCGCCGCCTTGCAGTTCAAACTCTGCTCTAGTCGCCCGTGCGTGTCCGCCGCCAGGCGGAGCCCAGTCGCGCGAAAAACAAACAAACAAAAAGAAGACGATGATGACAGAGGCCGGACGCCCACGCAGGCGGGGCAAAGGTAAAGAGAGCCACACACAGAGAAAGAGACAGGCGGGCGGGCGGGGGGCAACGATCATTCCAGTGCTACCCCCACGCACGCCGCCAGGAAGAGGGAGAGAGATACATAGGTATAAAATGTGTTCATTGAGGCGTCCCCCGAGCTGTGGAGAGCGACACCGAGAAGAAGAAGAAGGAATCATTTAAATTTTTTGTTTTAAAAAAAGGTAAAATAAATGGCGGTCCAATAGAGAAGAATAAAACAATTCAGCAAAGGAAAAAATCAGAGTAATAATAAAAAAAAGGGTCAGTGGGCGGAGGCATCCGACATTTCTACATACTCCACATGTGTACATGTTTGCGTCTCAACTAACGCGCGGCAGCAAGCAAAGCCAGCGAAGCAACCGGGAGGTGCTTCGTTACACGCTTGCGTGAGGGTCTCGCGAGGACAAACCATTACGGCATTTCCACCGGTGGGAGTTGCTTTTGTGGTGCCCGCCTCGGTTTGTCCAACAACGCGGCACGATACTCAAGCAAGTTGCGCTCGACCACTGCCATGAGACGCCCCTGCTCCTCCAGCAAGGCGTCATAGTCCACGGCGGATTCACAAAAGTCCCGCCTGCACTTTGGCGGCAGTGGCAACGATTCCTCGCGTGTTTCGTAGCGATACAGCAGCTCGGCCCCCTGTTCCCCACCGACGGCAGCTGCAAGCTCCCTCAACTGGTCACCCCAGTGGTGCGAGTAGAAGCGGTAGTTGTGCACCGCCTCAGCCATGCGTTCGTCAAGCAGCTGACTGGGGAGGGCGCGGTGCAACTCGTTGGGCGCCTTGGCGTCCCAGTACAGGAGCCCGCTAAGCGCGTCCCGCTCGCGAAGGTCACCATTCGCAAGCGATTCAATTGTAAAGCGCGGGGGTGACTCCTGCTGCTGCAACACCAACTCGCCGCCCTCAGGGAGCTGCTGCAACTCCGCACAGTTGCCCTCGCCATCGGTGTTGAGGCCGTCTGCCGACGCCGAGTGCGTTCGGGCGGCCAGCTCCATCCGCCCCTGGTGATCCTTTGCCGCAATGACGTTGGTGTCGGCGAAGGAGTTCACTAGGTGTGCGGGGATATCCACCGGGGGCCGTTTGAACTGGCTCGCCAATTCCGCGGCGTATCGCTGATAGCCCGCCGCGGCCCTCATCAGCTCTTTTTCGTGGCTCTGCAGCATCTTTTCATATTGCTGCGAGGCGCCGGCGGTCCACTCGTGAGGCGGGGGCCTTCCGTACATTGCCGCGTAAGACGATGGCGACGCTCGGCCTGTCGTGGGCCGCGACGTTGGTGGTGGCGAAGGCGCCGTTTCAGCCACCACCGGCACACCGTCGCTCCCCACCTCCGGCTCCGCAAGCGAGCAGCGTACAAGCAAGGAAAGCATCGATGGGGCCCTGGAGGGAAGCTCCACCTCATCCTCAAGTTGAAGCTCTACGGGGTGTGGCCCGTCGGGGTCAACTCTCTTTTCCAGCAGCTTCCTGATTCTTTCGGTGTACAGTTCAAACTCCGTTTGCACCCGCAGCAGCTCCTCACTCCGGCGTAGCAGCAGCTGCCCGTAGGCATTCAGCGCCACTGGGGCCACTTTACATGGGCCACCCTGCGCCGCAGGGGGCGCTCCCGCCTCCTCCTGCTGCTCCTCTTGCATGTGCACCTCCTCCTGCTGCTCCTCTTGCATGTGGATCTCCTGCTGCTGCTGCTCCTCTTGCATGTGCACCTCCTGCTGCTGCTGCTCCTCTTGCGTGTACACCTCCTGCTGCTGCTGCTGTCCCTTTTCTTCTTCCTGCGGCTTCTCCCCGTGGCGGAACGAATCTCGTTGTCTTGGCAACCCCTCCGCCTCCTCCGGCGTGTAGGTGGAGAGTACGACAGATGCCAGGTTGCTTACATCGCACGGGTGCGCAGAGGCCCCATCACCGTTGTTGTCAGCGCCAACGCAGGAGCCGCCGACGTCCGGGGCCACGCCCAGCGGAGGCATGGTGTTCATGTTATGCGCCATTAAATGTAAAACAAGTACAACTTCGTTTGATTTTTAGTTCTTCTCCCTTTTCTGTACTTTAACGGCACACTTGTTTTAGTTTGGTTTCTCCCTCGTTCTCTGACCGCCTGTGTGCTTCGGCCCCCGGCTGTAGTGGGGGAAGGGTGCAGGAAAGGCGGGAAGAAGAAGCCATGAACAACTCCAAGGCAAAGCCACGACCACTACGGCAGCAGCAGCAGCAGCAGCAGAGCGAATACTGCGGGCGTGAAACGCATACGCGTCGCTTTTACTGGCTCTGCTTCACTTGTCTAGGGACAATGGCCTGCCCCTCCCCCCTCCTCTCCCGCTTCTCGTGATCCCCCTCGAGGGGCTGGGCGAGTGCAGAGGCCTCGGTGCCGCTTCGCCTTCGTCACCCGCCCGCCGGTCTCCCGCCGTCGCCCCACGGCGTCATTGCGCAACCAACACCTCTTCCCGCCCAACCGCAACAGCCCAGAGACAGGCACACACACACACGCACACACCTTCCTCTCTCCCTCCATCTCTGCCCCTCGCCCTCAGCAGACGCCTTCTCGTCCTCCCGCCTCCATGGACTTTTGCTGGGCGGAGGGTGTCCGCGGCCGCGCCCCCCGCTCCTCACCAGCGCCGCATCACGTACGTGTTCCAGTACTCCTTTGCCATCTGGGTGTAGTTGATCTTCGCCATCTCGAGGAAGCCCATCTTGTGGAGGTTCAGCCGCGGCCGGGCCTCTGGGAACCGCCGCTTCGCCCCGTCCGCGGCTAAAAAGCGGAACATTGCCAAACTGCGCTCGCTGGTCTGCACGGCGATGGCGATTTGCTCCGGGTCGCGCAGCTCCGCCCCTTCGCGGAACTTTTGACGAATGATGATGACGAATCGCTCATTCATCTGCGCGTGCTCGTTCAACTCACACAGCGCGGAGGGCGGGCACAAGACGGCGAGCTTAAGCCACTGCCTGTACGCGCGACACACGCGGTAAGGGTGGGGGATGCCAGGGAGGTTTGTGCCCGCCTGCGCAATGATGTCCGCGGCCACAGGGGTCACCAGCGCCTTGCTGCCCACGGCAGCACGACAGACGCCAGACGCACGCAGCATACCACTGCCCCAAAGAGAAGGCTCCCCACCAGCCACCGCTGCTGCCGCCTTCGTATCAGGGGGTTTTCCTTTACGGACACACAAACAGAAACGGAGAGTTGTGTACGTGCGACGCCTTACCTTCTGTTGTGGCAGCACGCACGCACACACAGAAATTTTGACTCGGTGCGCAGCGTGCAAATGGAACGGCACAACAACAACAAAAAAAGAAGAAGAAAGCAAAAATAAAAAATAAAAATTCGATGCATACACGCAGACAAATAGGGCAATCAAGTTGACAGACACGAACATACGCGTATAACTGTATATTTGCGTGCTTTCCACAGCCTCACATTTTTGAACTTTTTCTTCTTCTGGGAGGATCTGCAGGAGAGATACATGTGCAGCAAGCAACCGTTCAGTTGTTTTGGTGCGGAGGCTATGGAGCCCCACGGACCGTTATTTACATCCATTCGTTCACAATGAACTCCATGAACATGTTTACTTTTTCTTTCCATTCTGATTTTTTTTTTGCCTTTCCGTCGCCTCTCGCCTTTGACGTTCTCTCGCAATTTACTTTCAATGCGTTTCCATCTCTTTGCTTTTCATGCGTGCATAGAAGCGTATTTTTCCCTCCCCAAACCCCTTACCAGCATAACCCTCTCGCGGGAGAAGTAGTTGTCGCAGGTTTCCTCATTCTTACTGCTTTCATGCAGCGTTCCTTTTCCTGTTCTTCTTCTTCTTGTTTTTTTTTGGTTGCCCCCCATTCTCCCCCCTCACCTTCCCGCGACCCCGCAGACGCCTCCGCGCGGGTTCTAGTCAGTGGACCCCAGCAGCGCAACACCGCGCATGCGCCAATAGGCGTCGTCCTCCGCCACAGGGAGGCTCACGTCGAAGATCCAGTGCAGGTCGGAGCGCGTCGGGTACTTGTAGACGGGGCAGCGGTAGTGCTCCTGCCTCTTCTGCCTCTCCTTGAGTTGCCCCGGCTTTGTGGGCGCGTTCGCCACCGGCGGCGGGGCGTCGCGGTTAATGGCCGAGATGAGCAGCATGGGCAGCTCACGGAAGAGGTCGCCCGGCGGCGGGTCCTTGAGGCGCTTGTTGGACTTGTCCCACATGGCCCCCTCGAGGTACAGACCGTAGATGACAACCTCGCCCCGCTCCGTCTTGAGGTCCTCCGCCTTCGGCTCCTGGTTCGGGCGGAACTCGGAGGAGCGCACCTCCGTCCGCGCCTCCACCTTGTCGAGGGCCCACGGCACCGCCTCGTTCGCGTGGCTACGCGTGATTTCCTGCCGCACGGAGGTCAAGAATCCCTGCGGGTTGAAGAAGCCCGGCAGCCAATACACCGGGGGCCGGCCGTTGCGGGCCCAGCTGTCAAGCTGCTCGTAGCGGCGCAGCACCTCGCCAAACCAAAGAGAGATGTTTGGCGACGGCCAACCCACCGCCACCCACGACGGCGGGACACGCGCGGCGTAGAGGTAGTCCAGCGCATCCTGCAGCGCCGGCGTGAGGATGATGGTGCCGGCCACAGCCAGCTTCAGGTTAATGCACGTCTGCCGGATCACGCGAATGGTGATGCTCAGTCGGTCAATTTCCTGCCCAGCGAAGATGGAAAGCGGCTGGCGATCGGAAAGGTAAAGCTTGCGGTCCACCGTCCAGTGCTCCGGTAGCTGTCGCAGGAAACCGTCTGCCATGCTCAGGACCTTTTCCTCACGGGTCTGGCCGCCCTGCACAACGGCGTCGCGCGGCTGGATGTCAAGGATGGTGGTGAGCGCCTCTTGGGCCTGGCGGGTGCGGTACGTGATGTCCGCATTGGAGTGCATCTGGAACACTTCGGTCGTGTCCACATCCGGGTAGGTTTCGCGAATAAAATCACGGTGCTTGTTGATGTCGTCAAAAAGGGGAATGGCGTAGCCCGGCGAGAACTCCATGCGCTCACCCCCCGTGAAGATGGTGTTGCTGGCGACATTCGTGCCCGGGGCAAACTTGACTTCGGCCGCGGGCTTCGCATCTCGCACCTTGTCGGGGTTGGTGATGCGGAGGTCGTAGAGAAACTCCGTAATGGCCTTGAAAAGCGCGCGGTCGTTGTTGTCGGTGATACGCCCGCCGTACTGAATATCCGCCACCATGTAGCAGACGGTGTCGCGGTTCACTGGGTTCTTGAGGCTCTCCCCAATGGTGGTCATGTGGTTGATGAGAAACTGCACGGAGGCGGTCCAGTCACCTTGGTTAAACTCGTACGGCACACTGAAACCAATGGGGCCAAACTTGCGCCGCTCCACCACAACGGAGTGGAGGAAGCACTGCGTGAAGAGCATCGGCTTCCACTCGGGTCGGCGGAACATCTCAAGGTAGTCCTGCGAGAGCCAGGAGTAGGTACGCACAAGGCCAGCCTTGATCCCCTGCGGCGGCTCATTGGTTAACTTGATTGACATCTGCAGCAGCCCAATCGGGAATAATTTGTACGGCTCCGTCGTCACCCATAGCCGTGCCTCCTCGTTGATCTCCACCTTTTTCCCGCCCGGCAGCAGCTGTTGTCGCAATTTTTCCTCCAACTGCAGCAGAAACGGCAGGCCAAGATGACAGTTCTGCAGCATGGCCCAGTCGCCGTTGGCCCAGGCGTTGCTCACGATGGTCATCGCCGCCTCCTCCTGCCCCTGGCCCATGGAAATGGGGAATATCTTCTTCTTCAGCGACTTCGCCGCGGCCTCGATGAGGGTCGTCGGGTCCGAGCCCTGCGATAAAAGAAAGACGATAGGCGTCAGGCCGTTTGTCTCCTCCACCACGTCGTGAAGATCGAGCTGCTGCGGCTCGGCAAACTCCTTCCCAAGGGTGTGGGAAACGTACTGGTTGGCGGCAAGCATCGTGCGGTCCTCGCGCAGGGCACGCACGATGAGAAGGTGGTCGAAGCTATCCAGCTTCTCGTTGATGTCCGGGACGGGCAGGTTTTCAATGGCGTCAGATTCAATGAACTGGCGCCACGCCTGCTCATTGCGCATGATGAGGTCGGGAAGCTGCTTGAAGGACCGCGGCACCTGCTCGGAGAGGGCCAGCACGCTCGCCCACACCTTATCCTTGATCCAGAGAAACGGCTTGGAGCGATCCACCTGAACCGCGCCACCGCCCTTCAGAAAGACGTCAAACGCCGTGGGTTCCAAGTGTCCCGCCTTCATTTGAATCTTGCAAGCCATCAGCAGCACAAACAACAGCTTGTGCTTCGAGAAGAGCATGCGGACGATGTACTTGAAGACGGACATGGTGAGAAACTCAATGATGCACTGAATGCGCCTGGTGGTGACCGGGTGATGCTCAGAACGTTGAATAGAGCCATCAAAGATGCCGTCAAACTGCATAAGCGAGGTCTGGTACATGTTACTCACAAGGGACATTTCAACGACGAGGAAATACAGCACAGCGCCGCGGGTGGCCACCGGACGGTACTCCTCGCATGCACCGGCGATACGCTTCTTCGTCTCAAGGGCAGTCGCTAGCTTCTCTGCAATTTCCGCGGAGGCATCCTTCGTCTCCTGCAGTGTCTGGATGAGGCCGACGTCGTCAATAAGGTTCCCCTGCGACTCACTCAACTGTTTCAACAGGCGATCTTCCAGGTTCTTGCGACGTTTTTCGTTACTGTTGATGTCCTCCGAGAGCTTTGCGCTCTCCTCGTTCAGCTCCGCTTTCTCGCGGCCAATGACGTGCGAGAGCAGCTGCTGCTCGAGTCCCTCCATCGTCACGGTGAAGTCGATCACCAGGCTCTTGGCAAACATCTCCGGGGTGAAGCTGGGGTTCGGCAGCTTGGTGGTGAGGAACATCCTAAAGTTCTCGTTGTAGCCCATTTCCTCGCCGTTGATGCGGATAATCTTTGACTTGCCGCTGCGCACCACCTGCTTCTCCAGCACGGGGTCAATCATGGGGTCAATCTCCTCTGGCACGTTCTCGATGAGGAGGGGGCGACCCGCGTCAAGCTGCTCCTGCAGGTGCATGGTGAAGGTGCGGTCGTTGAGCTGGCACAGCTTGCTCTCCTGGCCCTCGGTGCGGCGGCGGATCCAATTCAGCGCCTGCCCCTGCGGGTCAATCATCAACGGGAACTTCGCGCTCGTGGTGATCATGATTGCGTTCTGCACGGAGTGGTCGTCCGCGGGCAGCCCCTCCAGCTGCCAGTCGGCGATTGTCGTCTCGTCGACGAGGAACTTCACCACGTTGATGTCGGAGGTCACCGGGATCTTCAATTCCCTGCACTTCACGTAGAAGTTCTTGTAGAGCAGCTGGTGGCGGAACTCGGAGTTGAAGGGGCCACAGTAGGAGATGAAGGCGCAGCTCAGCGCGACGTCGCCGATGAGGCGCTCAATGAGCGACTTGAATTCGTTGCTCTGCCGCGTCCACCGCTCGCGCTCGCCGGAGAGGGCGTCAATGAGGCCGTTCGCACTGTCCATGCGCTGCTTCGTGCGGGCGGCGTCGTCCTCGAGTGCCTGCTTCTTCGCGTTCTCCTCTGCAAACTGCTGGTTGTAGCGCTCCACCTCGGCCGTCACCCGCGCGAGTTCCTCCTCCTGCTCCTCCTTCTTTTTGTTTGCCACCCGCAGCTTGATGGTCGCAATGCGCAGCTTCTCCCGCTTCGGCGCCACGATCTTCGCGATGTTGATGTACTTGTACATGCTCCGCACCCAGGTACAGAGCCCGGCAATGTTGCCGGAGGCCTTGCGGGCCCGCTCCTGCGTGAAGTCCTCCATCCAGAGGTACGGCAGCAGCAGCTCGCACGTCTCCTCGTTGATGTAGTCCTTCTGGTTCTCGCCGAAGGAGCGAAGGGTGTCGAGGGTCCCGGAGTCCGAGGCGAGCTGGCGGCCGCTGAATTCCCAGGAGTCGGTGATCCACAGCGCCCCCTTCACCTCCTCCGCCCCCGGCGGCAGCAGCGGACGGTGCAGCAGCACCGAGACGGCGTCAAAAATGCGCCTAATAAGCGCCGGTGGGTTGGCCAGCTTCTTCAGTGTGGTGAAGTCGTTCGCCGTGATGGAGTTGAGCGACTCAATGGCCTCCAGCAGGGCCGGCTCAGCCGCCTCGAGATCCTTCTTTGCCTCCGCCTCGCCCTCCGCCACAATGGCGGCGTCGCGCGCAACCGTCTCCTTCACAACCTCCACCTCCATCCGCTTCTTCTCGGCCTCCGCGGTGCGTATCTCAATCTCCCGCACCAGCGCATCCGTCTCCTTGCGCTTGTTCTGCAGCAGCACCTCCTTCTCCTGCAGCTGGGTTCGCATCACCCGCACGTCCTCGCCGGCCTGGTGGAGCTTCTGCAGACCCTTGTTGATCTTGCTGGCGTCCTCGTTGAGCTCGTCAAACTTCTTCTTGTACACGCTGGTGTAGGAGTCGATGAAGCCGAGGTACGACTTCGGGGTGCTGTAGACGGAGCGGCGGTAGCGCGTGAGGTACTCCTCGGACTTCTCCAGCATGAGGGAGTGAATATCCGCCATCAGCTCCACCAGCGACTTCTTGTGCTTCTCGTCGGTGGCCATCTCAAAGGACTGGATCGTGCGGGAGGAGACGTCGAGCAGGGCCTGCTTCGGCCAGGGGAAGAACCAGTTGATGATGCAGGTGGAGACGAGGGCCGGAAACTTGCGGGCACGCGTGCGGAACTTGTCACCGACGGGCGAGAAGCAGAGGACGAAGTGCAGCCGCTCCCGCACCCGGTTGATGAAGTAATTCCACAGCACCTCGTTCATGTCGTCAAACTTCACAAACGGGTCCTTCTTCATGACGGGGCGGATGTCGTTGATGGCGGAGTCCCGCTGGTCAGAGGCAAAGAGACCCGCAATCTCACCATTCGACAGAAACGAGTTGATGTACTCGAGGAAAATCTCTTGCTTGATGTCGTTGTCGGTGAAGAGCATCGTGACGGGGCGCTTGGTGGCGGCGACAATGTACTGCTCGCGAATGGCGTCAAACAGCTGATTCACACCGAAGCCCTTGGAAAGCACCAGAGTGGCGTAGTCCTGGTTGTTCACGTACGCCGCGAGACTGGTGAGGGACTGCTTGCCGCTGCCGCCAACACCCACCAGCAACAAATTACCGCGCGGCATGGAGAGCACACGCGAAATACGCGACACATTCTTCACGGCAGCCTCAAACAGCACCAGCTTCAACCGTTTCGCACGGCTCTGCTCATCGTGGGCCCGCATGGAGCGCAGCAGCCGGTCTTGCAGCACATCAATGGACGGGGCGGGCTCGTAGATACGCGGGGCCGCCTCCGCCACCTCACCCGTCTCGGGGTCAATGATGGGGTCGCGCAGGTAGTTGGCCATGTAGATGGGGTCCCGGACCTGGGCAATGACATCCTTGTACGGCGTCGACGACAGGTGCTGCACCACGCACTCCTGCAGGTGCTCGTCAAACCACTGCTTGTCCGGCACACTGTTCAGCTTGTCGCTGAAGACGCGGGAGCACTCATGCTTCCAAATCCGCACCAGCGTCACGGCATCCGTCACCGTTTCCCACGGCTTGCTGGTGGAGCGCTTCTCGGGGCGGTCCGGGTCGTAAAAAATGCCCGCCATCATGACACCCTGCGTGATGCGTGAGAGGTCGCGCAAGTTAAAGAAGTAGTGAAACTTGTCCGGGGTGGGCAGCATGCGTTTGGCAATGGCGCGCCAGAAGTCAATGGACATCTGCGTCAGCATCTTCGCGACGTCCTGCACCCCGCGAGAGTAGTTCTCGCTGCAGAAACGGCTTTCAAAGATGACGCCAAAAATCTGCTGCACCGAGCTCTCCTCTGGCAGCGGCACGTTAAACACAGAGAAGTGTCGCTTCAGTCGATTTGGAATGTCGTTTTTGCCGCCCGAGGGGTGTGACATGGCGGCCATGTACACCAGCCCGCGCAGCTCCTTGCGCCGCCCGGCGAGGCCCAGGTCGTAGACCATGTTGGACTCCACCACCTGCCGCACAATCTCGTTTGTGATCTGGTCTCCCCACTCATTGACCTCCGGCATGTTGATGTCGTCGATGAACACGGTGAGGGTCTCGCAGTTCTTTGGCCCAAAGGTCGACCCCATTCGCTTCTCTGTCATGTCATCCAGCGCGTTGTAGAAGTTCTGCGGCGTCGTCATGGAGGAGAAGTTCAGCTTGCGGAAGTTTGACATCTCAGACCCCGCCTTGATCTTCAGCAGCAGCTTTTCCATCGTGACGGTCTTGGCTGTCCCACTCACGCCCATCAGCAGCGTCGGCCGCCGCTGAATGTAGTTGCAGTTGGCCAAAAAGTGCAGCCGCACGGAGTCCGTGGTGGGGATGAAGAGCGTCGCGAAGTCCAGCTTGTCGTCGCCCGGGTACCTCCACTTCTCGAGGAACATCGTCCAGTGCTCCCAACGGCCGGTCTTGCAGTTCAGCGAGAAGTCAAACACGAGGCCGTCCGACGAGGGCGGCAGCCCGTCGTAGTTCTGGCGCACAAAGTGGTCGAACTTCACGCGGTCCTTCGACTCCAGCATGCCGCCAAAGGCCCACGAGACGCTGAACCAGAAGATCTGCAGCGCCAGCTCGTTGCTCACCGCCACGCCGTCGCCCACCTCCTCGCCGAGCGCCACGACGAGGTGAAAGACGTTCATCACAAGGTGCGCCACGGACGTCTTCATCACAACGGCGCACTCCTTCTCGTAGAACTCCGCCACCTTCATCGTCAGCGTGCTCTCCAGCGGGGCGCCCTCGGCCGGCATGAAGAGGGCCAGCAGCTTCTCCGCCAGCAGCGGGTTGCACGGCATGAGAACGTCGGAGGGCAAAATGACCCCGTCCGCGCTTGCCGTGGCGCGCAGCTTGGACTCCAGCACGGGCTTCCACCCGAGAATGACGTCGGAGATGTAAATGATACCCGCGCGGGACACGGTGGCGGGCGAGGCGTTCGCCAAGTTCTCCACCTCGAAACAGCACTTCATGGTGTCCGTCATTTGAATGCGGTCGCCGTTCGCCAGGGTCAAGAGCTTGTTGTCGTCCAGCACGGTGTTCAGGTTCTCAATCCAAATAGCATCCACAGGGCCGTCGCATATAATCCAAATATTCCGCTTCTTCGCGCTACGCACAGCCGTACGCCAGAGGGAGGAGAAGACGCCATCGTGCCAGTCCCCTGAGACGTCAATGCGACCAAACATTTGCGGCGCCGTAATGGCCTTCGGGTTCATGCGAAGCTGCTGGTGCGGCACCGTGGTGCGGCTCAGCGTCTCCGTCATCACCTCGTAGCACTGCGTCTTGCCGCACATGGCGGGGCCAACGACCATGATGCCGTGGCGCACCAGCTTGGTCTCGTAGAGCTGCAACACCTTGCTCACCCACGGCGTCCACTGCTGCAGCCCCTTCTCCTTAATCACATTGGCGAGCTCCCCCTCAAGCTCGGGGTGGGTGCCCTTGACGAACTGGCGCCCGGGGAACATGTCACGCAGAAGGGAGTCGAAGAGCTCAATGTCCTCGAAGACCAGTTTGGAGAGGTTCATGTCACGCAGGGTGCGCATGAAGAGGTCCTCCTCATCTTTGCCGGGGTTGCGCCGCAGCACCGCACCGGCGGTACGCAGCACAGAGAGAATGTTGCGAAGACCAAAGTCGTAGTGGCGCTGCTTGGATAGCTGCTCCTCACAGAGTTTGTAGAGCGTAAAGAACTTCTTGCTGAGGAGGTCATCCAGGCTGTACCCCTGCGACGCAAGTTTCACCTTCATAATGGTCTGGCGGTCGGGAATCATCATAGTCACACCACGGAAGAGAATCTTGAGATTCTCTGGCAACTCCTGTCGTCCGGCGTAACCGGGGTTCATCGTGATGAAGAAGCCGACACCCGGCATCAGGTCCGTCACCTGGCCGTCGATAAAAACAAACCTGTCCTTGTGCTGCTTCAGCGCCTGCAGGACGCAGCTCACCTGCTGTGCCACGACAGACAGCACAGGCAGGTCAATACGGTTGAATTCATCGAAGCACCCCCATGCATTTGCCTGGGACAGGCCACGGATGATCTTCCCCATCGCATGACGATCCAGCTGATCCGAGCAGTTAAACACGACGCAAAACTTACCGTACGTGCGAGCGAGATCCTTCGTCGTCTCCGTCTTGCCCGTACCTGCTGGTCCCGCGGGTGCGCCACCCATGTACATCGCGAGCGCCTGAGACAAGGTGATGTAGCAGCGATCGGTCAAAGGTGTAATGACGAGGCGTTCCTTGACGCCCAGGTATTCGTTGCAGTACTCCGTGTCCGAGTCGGCGATGGAGATAATGGTGAGGTCACGCTCTGGTTTGTAGTAAAAGCGAGCCTGCTTGAGCCAATCAAAGTGCGTGAGCTCCTTGATGGCGGCCTTTTGAAGGTCGATAAACACCTCCTGCTGATGCACCTGAATTGTGATGAGCGTCTCCACGTTGGTGCGCATGCGCAGCGGCTGCCGCTCCAAATCAGGCGACGTCGTGAGGTTCACCAGGTAATTCTTGACGGAGTCGCACTTGGCGCGGGAGGAGGCGGACTCCCGCCCACGCGCCCGCATCACGCCCTTGGAGATGCACTCCGTCACATCCGCGGTCCAGAAGAGCTGGAGCATCAGCAGCGAGACCTGCGCCGGGTAGCGGTCGATGATGGTGCCGAGGTAGTTGGTGTTGCTCAGCAGCGTCCCCAGCTCCGTGACGCTCGCCTTCACCACCTCCCGCACCGTGGCGGTCATGCCGGAGCAGAGGCGGTTCAGCCAGTCCTCGACGTTGCCGACGCACGGCGTCGGCTCCCGCATCATAAGCGACTCGCCCTCCCCGGAGATCATCTCGACGATTTGGAAGTAGGGCTGCACCCCCGCCTCCTTCGGCTTCACGCGCTCAAAGCGCACCGAGGAGAGCCCGTCGAAGATGGACGCCAGGTGCGGCTGAATCGACTGCGGGTCGCTTGCCTGGGAGAGGATCTCCAGCAGCACCGTGTCGGAGACAAAGTAAAAGCGCGGGAACAGGTTCCGCTTCTGCTCCAGGTAGAGCGAGAGCTTGCGCTGACACTCGTCAAGTTGCTCCTTCAAGTTTGGCAGGTTCTGCAGCAGCTCGTTTTCGTAGCAGAACTCCAGCACGTTGGGCATCTCATTCGCCTTGTTCATAATCTTCTGCCAGGCCTTATCAATCATGGCAAAACGCTTCGCCTCCTGCGGCAGCTGCTTCATGATGTCGCCGCCCGCAAACACCGCCTCAAGGTACTGCCACGTCGACTGCACCTCCACCCAGAGCGAGATGATCTCGCTCACGCGAACGAGCTTGTGCAGGAAGCTTTGTATGGTGTCCCGCATGAAGGCGCAGTAGCGGGAGGAGAGCATGGAGTTGATGGCAAGCGAGGACTCGTCCAGCGCCTCCCGCTTGGTGGAGGTGTCGTCGCCCTTGAGGACGATGGGGCCCCGGTGCTTGAACTCGGAAAACTTCAGTTCCTGGTCCTTCCACAGCGCCTCCTGCGCGCGGAACTTCGTCTCCACCTCCGCCTCTCGCACGGAGGAGCTCGCGATGTCAATAACCTCGTCCACGACGCGCAGCAGGTTCGCATCCACGAGGTTTTGCAGCTTAAACAAATCCGGATCCGTTCGCCACTTATGCCCCGTCACCCGCATGATCTCCTGCCAGTGCCGCTCCACCACCGCCGGGTTCTTCAGCTCTTGAATCACAGGCTGCAGCTCCATAAAGTCGTCGAGAATCTTCTTGAGCTCGACGTACGCGTCCCAGTCTCGCAATGACTTGGGCAGGCGCTTGCACTGATTCACAAACACACTCACCTCCTCCGCGATGGCGTCGAAGTCGAGCTCGCACCACAGCACATCGTTGTAGCCGTCCACCTTTTGTAGCACGTTGATGTACAGCGTGTACAGCTTGTCTAGAAGCTCCAACTCCTTCTTCGTCTTCACCAGCTCCGGGTACTTGTGCACCGGCAGCCCAAAGAGCTCCTCACCCGCCATGAACGTCATCCACTTGCGGTACTTGTCGTCAAACTGCCGCTGGTACCGTTTAAGCCGCTCCATCGCCTCCTGCGGCTTCAGCCCCTCTACCATCGGTCCATGGGCATCGTAGTCGTTGCGAAAGGAGATGACTTCGGCGCCAAACTTCTGCACCTCCTGTGTGAGTCCCTTTTTAAAGCCAAACTGCATGTGATTGATCTCGTCGGAGCGGCGCTCCGCCTGCGCGTGGAGCTTGCGCCACTTGAAGCGAATGTCCTCCACGCGGTCAATTTCCTCCTTGAAGATGCTTACATTGAACCTCTGCAGCAGCGCGTACGCCTGCTGGACGGGGTAGAACTGGAACTCCACCAAGGACTCGCGCTCACGGATCTCCTGCAGCGTCTCCATGAGGACACGCAGGTCCTCCAACTTCTCCTGATCCGGTATGGGCTGCGACAGCTGATGCGTCTCCTCATCCATCTTATGCGTCAGTGCGTCCAGCTCAAGCTGTGCCTTCGCATGCAGTTTGTGGGAGAAGAGATCCTTCCACTCCGTGGCGCGCCGCAGCAGATCGGCCTTGAGGGAATTGTTCTGCAGCGCAAGGCTGCCAATGTTGAAGACCAGCGTCAGCCCCTCAATCTCTTCCTGCAGAGCCACGTAGCTGCGCAGGACACGCTCGTAGTCATCCAGCGTCGGCTGCCCGGCGCAAAACGCCTCGTACACGACGTCCTTGTCGTCCTTCCAGAGGTGTTCGTACTTGCGGAAGTGGTTGAGGTACTCCATCACCTGCTTCTTCAGGCCGTGGACGCCGCCGGTGAGCAGCAGCACCACCTTCACCACCTCCTTGTTCTTCGCAATCTCCTCAAAGAAGGAGAGGGCGTCGTCGCCGAGGTCGGACCACGGTGTCATGTACTTGCTGCAGGACAACACCGCCGTGGCGCACTGGTTGATCGCCTTCTGCACCTCGTCCAGCGAGGGGTTGAGGCACACGTACGGCTCCGCGTTGATCAGCTGCACGTCCACGTCAAAGAAAGGCCGCTCCACAAAGAGGAAGGAGACGTTGTTGCGTGTCCCGACACGTTTCTTTAGCAGATTTAGCGAGCGTGTCGTGCTGGTGAGAATGGCCTTGAACATGAGACGGTTGAAGTGGCTCTTCAGCGTCGTCACCTTCTCGCGGGTCTCGCTGTCGAGGGCGGCGAGGTCGCACGACTTCCCCTGGCTGCTGAGAATAGCCGCGATGACGTCCCCCACGGCGGTCTCCACCTCGCGGTTCTTCACGTCCATCACCTCGCACTGCTGCCGGATGTGCTTCTCCTGCACCTGCACGAACTGGTCGAGGGAGAAGTGGTCCTCGAAGATGTTCGCCAGCAGCGTGGAGGAGATGGTCTTGAGGTTCACCTGGATGCGGTAGTGGATGATGTCGTTCACCTTCGTCACGACGCTGTCGATCTCCTGAATGGCGCTCTGCACCCGCGCGAGGTACGTGTCGACGTTCATCGACATCCACGTCAGGGTGGTCTCGCCGGGCAGGAAGACGGCGTCGAGGGCGTCAAGGTTCGGCTGCAGCAGGGCACGGGTGATGCCCACGATCTTGCTGCGTGCCCCGCCCGGGCGCCCCACCACCCGCTCGTACGCCTGCACAAGATACGTCAGCTCATTGTAGAACGTCTTGAGGCGCTGCTCCTGCATCAGCACCATCTTCGCCGACGCCGGTACGTCGATGTCGCCAAGCAGCATCATCGCCCGTGTTTCCTTAATTAGTTGAATGATCTCCACGTCAAAGTTCACAAACAGGCGGCCCTCATGGCGCACAAGCAGCGTGGCGTTGAGGCCCGCCTTACTGGACTCAATGGAGCGCTTCCACGCATCCACCCAGATGGCCTCAAACTCTATCAGCGCCACCGACACCTTATTGTATGTGCGAATCACTTTCTTACTGTCCTTTGTGTTCGCCATGATAGTGCGGTTCGTCTTGAACTTGTCCATGGGTGACTTGATGTGCCGCAGCAGCTGCCGCGCCCAGCTGATGGCCCCCACCACCGGCGTCATGTTGCGTGCGACGGGGGGGTCGGTCTTGTAGCGCTCGTACGTCTTCTGATCGTTCTCCAGCTCCATGCCGTAGCTGTGGAAGATGACAAGGTACTTCGACTCCAGGTCCGCGGCGAAGGCCTCGTTCTTGAGAATGTGCTGGTACTTTGCCAGCAGCTGCAGGGCGTTGTCGGTGGAGGTGATGTTTTCAAAGGAGGAGTTGATCGCCACCTGCATCGAGGTCTCCAGCTCCGCGATGCGGTGCTCGAAGATTTTAAACTCCACGTCAAACTTGTTGTTGTCGTGGATGTCGAGGATGTCGGTCGTCTTGCCGCGCAGATGCCCCAGGTACTCCTCAAAGCGGGGGATGAGTCCCTCCATCTGCTCAATGTTGTAGGTCTTGAGCTTCATGAACTGATCCACCGTGCTGAACACGCTGATGAGCTTGTCCACCCGCTTCGTGAAGAGGTTAAAGTGCCCCATGAACTTCAGCTCATCGAAGTCAAACTGTTTTCCGCCCTTCCAGGCAAGCAACTCCTGCGCCTTTTTGTACTCCTCGTTGTACGCCTTGTTGCACTCCACACTCAGCTGCAGCTGCCGCAGAAGCTCCTTCAGCATGTCGGGATTTTGTCCACTTTCCCAGATGCGGCTGCGGACCCCGGACGGGTTTATGGCCGCCTTGCACGACAGCACAATCGCGTTGGTGACCTTAAAGAAGAGGGCCGTCATACACTCCCGCTTGGAGTAGTAGCGGGCAATGGTATACATCATGCGGATGTTGGCAATGAGTGCTGGGAGGACGTTGATAATTTGTGAGATGTCAGAGGAGTATAATACATCAAGATAGTTGTCTAGCGAACGCAGGTACTTCACGTTCTCGCGGGCCTCCGTTAAGGCGTCGGTGAGTGCCACGTCCACCTCCGTCCAGCGCTGCAGCAGGGGATTTTTCGCCTCCCGCAAGTACTGCACGGCGTGGGAAGCCTCAACCAACTGCAGCTGCTCCTCCACGAGGTGCAGCTTCGCCAGACGACTCTTCCAGAGGGAGATCTCCGTCTTCGGGCCCGCCTTCTCATCGTTCAGCTCGTTTTCGTAGTTCGGCGTCTGCTGCACAACTCTGTGGATGACCTTAATCCACCCCTCCACCGTCGTTGCGAGGTTGTGCACGAGCACCGGGTCATTGATGCCACCCCGCTTATTCACCCCACCCCGCTGCAGCAGCCGCCACGTCTCCGCGTCCACCGGCTCCAGCTCGTAGCTCTCCCCCTGCAGTTGCTGCAATTCCGAGACACGGTCGGCGTAGCGCAGGAGGTGCACGATGAACTGGTTGCGCTCCGCCGTGGAGTTCTTGCCCCACTTCCCCAGCTTGTTGAAGAGCGGCGTGTAGACCTCCATGAGGAGGTGCTCGTAGCTCTGCAGGACGTTGGCGTCCAGGGAGCCCATGGCGACCTCCTGCACCACCTGCGCGGGGTCCTTCGCGCTGATCGCCCTGCCGTCGTCCGGGCGGAGGACGTACACGCAGCGCTTGACGAGGCACGGAATCTTGTCCTTCACCGGGTTAAGCACCGCGAGGACGTCCCCCGTGCCCTCCGCGTCACCCGGGTCGGGCTGGTAGGTGAAGAGGAGCGTGCTGGCGCCGCGGCCCTCCAGCATCTCGTGCACCACCATGAAGTTCGGCGAGCCGTCGACGAAGTTCTTGTCGAGCTGCTGCGTGAGGCGGTCCATCACCTCGACGTCCCCGCAGGCGAAGAAGTCCTTCATGCGGGCGAAGACGTACATGTGGCGCGCGTCGGAGCGCACGTGGTGGTGGTGGTGGTGGTCCGCCATCTTTTGCAGGGGACGGGGAGCGCAGGCAAACAACACCAAAGCCGCCCCGGCCAATCACCAGCAGAAAAACCTGCGGGGCCACAATAAAAACAACAACAACAACAACAACACAAACGAAGCTACGCAATCAGCAATCACGCGCTTGGCGATGAAAGCAAAAAAAAAACAAAAACAAAAAAAGAGCGAGAGAGAGTTGGTTGTGTACCGGTCTCTAGCGTGTGTGTATGTGTGTATTTATACACGTGTGTGAGTGTGCTGCGGAAAAAGGCACAGCAACCCCCTCCACTCAAACGATTCTGCAGCGGTACAACCACCCAGTGGAGGCGGCAATAATAATAATAGTAGGAATACAACGTCAAGAAGGAAATAGAGAAAGATTGAGAGCGTGCGTGTCTGACCATGTAGGGTAGGCGTGGCAAGAGCACATTTGCGGAGATCAGTCAGGGACAGAGAGGCAGTGAGAAAGCGAAGCGGGAAGAGGTGCCACTCACAATGGCAGCGGCGGTTGACTTCTTCCTTCCAGGCACACACACACACACACAAATGGCACTTCTGCACGCATACGGCTACAAGTCATTTGCCTCACTTATAAGAAAACACACAATACATGAAATGTACACCACTCTACCACCGTTCTATAGACGCAACTCCTCCAGCAGGTATCGATAATCGCACAACACACTCCACAACAACTTTGGGATGCCATGCACGCGGCGCCGCGCAGCCGCCTCCTCAGGAGACTCGGGTGGAGGCACCACGGCCGCTGCAGCAGCAAACAATTTTCTCCGCCGCGGTGCACGCGAGTCATCCGTGGCGTCATTGTCGTCATCGGCGGCGGTGGCAGCCATCTCGCGCTCAAACGGTGTGCGGCACAGTCGCACGCAGCGATCCATCACCCACGGCGGGAGGACGCGCTGTGCGGCGCGGAAGAGCTCCACAAGACACTTTCGCAAGACCTTCTCCTCAAGGAAGCCGGTGTGAATATCGTCGTGGGCGAAGAAGGCCTCGCGCAGTTGGTGGTAGTCGCCATCGCAGGCGCTAAGCAGCTCCTCGCGCAGCAGCCGCCTCATCTTTAGTCGCCCCTTCCGCACACGCTGCTCAAGCGTGTCCTCCTCGGCGTCCCCCATGACGCGGTGAGACGTGGCGGGTGGCGCGGCAGCCTTCATCCGTGGCTCCGACGCAGGCAACGCCGGGGACACCTCGCCTTCCGCGCCCACCGTCTTCGTGGGGGCCTCTTCGTCGGAGGCGGCTTCGTCGCGGAAACCCACATAACTCTCCTGCACCACAAGCGCGCCCACAAGCGAGGTGTAGTGGCAACGACTCCCATCGCCCCCACTGGCGATTCCCACGCGCACCAAATCGTTGATTTCCCCCTCCGTCAAATTCGGTGCAACCGCGTAGAGGGCGCGGCCAAGTTCTCTGGCCGACACATACCCGTCATGCAGTCGATCGTAGTTTGTGCAAAGTGAGAGCAGGTGGGAACACTTTCCGTATAGTTTTACCGAAATCTCCTGCGGCAGCTTCAAAGCGCCGGCCTTGTCGGCGTCGCTTGCATGCGCTTCCACCGCACTCGTGTGGACTGGTGGACGCGGCGGAATCCCGGGCATTGGCGGATTGTGGCTCTGCGCGTGCGCGACTCCACCCTCGCAGGAGCCCCGTGCCGCGTCAACGGAGGCTCCAGGGACGCGCCCGCGCCCGCCTGAGGAGGCAACAAGCGAAACGCGCACCACCCCCGGCCCCGCCCTGCCCGAGCGACCCGACGAGGGTCTATCCGCTGCACCGCCGGGGTGGTAGTGATGCATCAACGCAGAGGCGCCGTTTCTGGGCGAGGGCAACGACTGCACACCCCGTCTCTCTCCGCCCCGCGATTCTTTCTCGCCTGCACTCCTTGACATTATAGTCGCGTGGGCAGCGGCGGAGCCTGCAGCAGGTGACCTCTGCCTCTGCCTCTGCCTCTGCCTCTGCCACTGCCACTGCTGCTGCTGCTGTTCTTGTTGTTGTGTGGGTTTCCTGCCATCGCTGTGGCGCCGCGCACTCATGGAAGCGGGTTCGTCCCCGCCGCCGAGGCGTCGTCTCCTGAGCGTAGACTCTACGGGAGCGTCTCCGCGTCTCACCTGCGTGCCCGTCCTCTGAATGGGTGCACCCCGGACACGACTCCACGATGCGGCACGCTTGGGTGGGCAATATGCAAATTTCTTCTTCTGCTCATGCGCCCGCGAGGAAGCGGTCGGCCTCAACAGCCTTCCACCCACGCGGCTGTCATCCGTTCCTCCTCCACTCGCTGGGGACTCATTGCCCAGCGAGGGAGAAGCCGATCGCGGCTTCCTTGCCTCTCTGGGACTGTTCGCTGCTGCGTCACGAAGGATTGCGCTTGACCGCCCCGTCTCGCCGGCCGCGAATTGGTGATCCACCGCGGACGGTGGGCGCTCCTCCTGCTCCTCCAGCCGCTCGACGCTCCTCTCGCTTATGAGATCACCGTACTTCTCCTCAAACTCCTTCTCCAATCGCCTAAGGAAGTCGTCTTCTTCCATGCGTTGTTTTTGTCGCGCCACTATTTCCCTGTGCAGTATTGCGTAGTCGTTCTTAACCAGACCCGTCGCCTCGCCGGCATTTCTGGCGTATGCCGTGGATGCAACAGGCAAGCCGCTTTGGGCGTCCATCCGTCGCACTCCGCCGCAGTCCATGGCAGGCTGTGGGTACGGCGGTGGCATACTCAGTTCAATTTCCTCTTGAAGCCCGCGTTCTGTCGGCACGTCGTACGGGTGCGGGCTCTGCGATCTTGCTGCGGCCGCAAAAACGGCGTCCTGCTGTTTGTCCGGCAGGGAAGTTGCCTCCGATGCCCTGACGGTAGTGGAGAGAGGAGGAGGTGAAAGCCTGGCTGCCGCGCGCGCCGTGAGCGGTTCCTCCATCTCGGGTGAGGGGGAAACGGAGACGGGGGAGCCAGAAGGGCGCTGGTGCGCCGCCGCCGTGCTGCGCCCTTGCGGGCTACTGGCAAAACTCGACCCCACAGCCTGGCTGACAGCCGCGCTTGTGTGCACACTCGGTGGGGGGCTGAAGCTATTGAAGCCCGCGTGCAGCAACGACTGCTGCTGCTTGGGGCTGGGCGCCATTTCAGCAGGCGGCGGAGACGGTGACGGGGGCGACAGCGGCGACTGAGACGCCGACAAAAAGTCGTACAACGCCGGCCTCGTCAACGGCAACGGGCTGTGCGGCGTCGCCGCCCCACTTGCCGCGCTTTGACGGCGTTGCGCCCCAGGCTTCTCACGTCCGCCGTCTATGGCAGTCTGCGCCGGGGGCACTGGTGGAGGCGAAAGCTCCGTGGCGGCTGTGGCCCAAAGCTCCGAGCGACGAATACGCTCGATGAGGCTGGAGCGCATGCGTGACACGAGCATGCAAAAGTCCGCCAAGTTTAATACGCGGTCGCCACTAGCCTGAGCACCGGTGTTGGTACTAGAAACATCGGACGCACGAGAGACGTCCAGTTCCAAGGAGTCCGCAAGCGCGTCTAGTTCAAGAAGTGAAATGCCAATGCCACGGTGAGAGAACGCGGACCACAGCTCATGTAGCGAGAGACTACCATCCTGGTCCGTGTCCAGAATTCGGAATATCTCCCGAAGCGAAAGCAACTCACCTCGGCCAGCCAGCCATGAACTGGAAGTTGCTTGACTTACTCTCGACGTGTTCTGTGGCGGGACCGCGCTGCCAAAGTATGTGTCCTGAAAGAAGGATCGGCTCGTGCCATTCATGGTCGTCGCTCTTGACGCCGTGTTCGGCCGCTTGACTGCTGTTCCTTCAAGCCCCGCCTGCCTCGCCTCTCTCACACCTGCGCTCTCCCTGCTTGGCGGCCGCGCCACGCCACTGTCCCTCCTCCCACCCCTCGCCCCGTGTGACGTCTCTTGGTGCGCGCACTCTGACGTCAGTGGGGTGGAGCTCCCCGAAAAGGCACACCGCTTCGCCGTCTGCAGCATCCGCTCCACAGAAGACGCGCGGTACGACGGGGAGGAGGCACGCTCCACGGCACGCTCTACAAAGCCGCCCGCCTTCGAGCCGCTGCCCGCAGCCGGCGGGACCCTATGTTCTCTCCTATCCGCTGCCGAAGCGGTGGATGATCCTCGCCGCGGAACTGCAAAGCGATGACTTGTCGCAGGCCGTTGGGCCCACAATTCGGCCTCTGTGTGCACGCTGGGAGACGCATGTGCGGAGTAAAACGTCGCAACCCCTTTCTCATCGCCGGCCGAGACGCAGGCGCCATGACGCGGGTGATGCTTCGCGGGGTTTCCCTCCCACAGCGGCGCTGGGCCGGTGGCAGGTGCCCGCGCCCCCGCATCGGAGAAGAACGAGGCAGCGTGGGGGGCCGCGCCGCCAGCGTCGCCCCGCGCCAACGGCGGTGCGGACATGTCGTGCGCCAATTGCCGCATACTCTCCAGGAGGGCAGCGTAGCGGACACACTCGCCTCGCTCCGCCGCGAACTGCTCCGTGAGCGCCTCCGCCTGCGCTCGCGACCCGCCATTGCGCAGCAGCGCCCTGGCGAACTCCCTGCACGGGACGGATCCAGACGCGTCTCTATCTAACGCCCGCAGGTCCGACTCTAATTGCCCGATTGAGTCCGCCAGCTCCTGCTGAAGCATCGCGGCATCAATGGAACCCTGAAACCCAAGCAAAATGGGGAAAGCGAGAAGTTGGGCTGAAACCAACGGACACCCCGCACAAGAATAACTAACCACAAACATCGATGGTAGGAGGACGCAAATGTTTTCACCAACGAAACCTCCCCCTCTTGCTCAAGTGAACTTCTCTCGTCACCCCAGCATATTTTTTTCTCCCTCTTTTACTTTCACTTCTTCTTTCACATCCACTTCAGAAACAAACAGACATACAGACACTCACGCGCATGCAACTAAAAGTTACGGATGTAGTCGGAGCTCTCGCAGGCCTTGTACTCACTCACCAGGCTCTCCAGAACCTCCCTAGAGTGTTTAAATTCGTCGAGGTTCTCCTTCATCGGGCCGTAGCGTTTATACTGCTCCAGGAAGACGCCACGGTTAAACAGCAGGTCAAACTGCTTCAGCGTTCGCTGAAAGAGAGAATTTATGCTGGTGTGGTTTGCCATCACGAGCCCGCTCACACGATGCCGTGTGTCTAAGTAAGGCGACTTCCTTGACAGAATCACCTGAATAGACGCCGGTCCCCACGGGATGAAGTTCGGCGAACGCTCACGGATACGCTCGAGGGAACGATGCACCTGGGCCGGGTCGACATCGCCCTGAATGAGGTTTAGCAAGGAGATGTAGCAACCACTTTTCATGGAGGTTGAAACCATCATGTTCTTGGGCATCAACAGCCGTCGCATGACGTCGTGCACGGAGGTCTTTTGCACAGAGGACTGAATGTTCGAGGTGTCCAGCGTGGTGGGTGTGTATCCGGTGCATATAAAGTGACAACGTGGGGTGGGAATCAACGAAGCCAGCATACTCATAAGGTCGTTATTCATGTACCCTGGGTAACGTAACGTTGCAGTAGAGGCTGCCATAACGGTGCTCACTAGGCCGTTCATCTGTTCCACTGTGGGTGAAGAAATGTGTAGGTTGTCTGTGGCGATGCGATTGAGGGCCGTGTTATCGAGAACAACGACACAATCGGCATGCAACGTTAGGCGTTTAATTGCTAACAAACTGTTATACGGCTGGACAATGACGTCGCTGTCGCCACCACGCGACTGATTTGGGAAAACACTATACGTCTGAATGAGTTTCTTTGGAAACCGGTCGTTGAGGTGCTCAAGCAGATAACTTCCCATGCCACTGCCCGTACCACCGGCAATGCTGTGCGTCAGCACAAAGCCCTCCAGGCTGTCGCTATTCTCAGCCTCACGTTCAATCATGTCAAAGAGCGTCTCCTGCACGGTGTCACCCAACTCATACCCATGTGCCCAGTTATTCCCGGCACCACCTCCCTCCGCGTGGATGTAAACATTCTCCGGGTTAAACAAACGATGCATGCTGCCGCGTTGAATGGCATTAATCACACGCGGCTCCAAGTCAATAAGAAGTGCACGAGGAATATAGTGGTCGTCGTCAGCCTGGTAAAAGAAGACGTCTTTGCGGTCATCGCCGGCGCTTGCAAAGGGCTCCACGATACCATCATGGCGAATACCATGCTCGGCGCACAGCAGCCGCCAAAACTCAGATCCGACTTGGTTGCCGCACTGTCCTGCCTGAAGCGTAATAATTTCCCGGGGCATTCTATATCCTGCCTTCCCACGGCTCAACTTCTCTCTTTATTGAGCCACTCTATGTGTGGGTTCCCTGCAATCGTTTTTTTTTGTTTGGTTTTTTGTTTTTTTTTGTTTCTGGGTTTTCCACCGCCTTTTCCTTCTACTCGCAGAAGCACGCGACCACGCCTCCCTCACACCCACACTGAGACAGAAGGGCAAACAAAAAAAAAAAAGATGAAAATACAGAGGCAAGCATGCAAGGACTAGCCCAGAAAACCACGCTAAAACAACACCGACACACACACACACACAGTAACGAACAATGTCGTCAATGTAGGACTTCTTCACTTGAATCTTAAAGTATAGGTCACTCTGCACGTGACTCAGACGAAGGTGTCTGAAGGTAGACAAAGGGTTTACCGTGCTTTTCCTTCGCGGCTTTCAACTGCCCCTTCCACTCCTCTTTGAGCAAGTGTAAATAAGTAATGTCGGCGTCTTCCCTAAACTTCCTTAGGAGTCTGCGGGCCTCTAACCGGTCTTTTCGCACCATGCCCTGCGCCTCTTCCAGCACAGCCACTTGCTCCATGCAAGACGCAATGTCTGCTATAAGACGGGTGGCGACGTAGTTCAACTCTGCATTCGCGTTTGCAAACGTCGCATCGGAAGAGGAAAAATCATTTTTATGCCTCTCAGCAACGCGCCTTCGAGCGCTCTCCTTAAATAAGGCACCAAGCTTCGCGCCACCGCAAGTGGTGTGCTGGTAAACACTAAACAGTTCCGCCTCTATCACGGAAAAATCTTCCTCCACCTGAGAAAGCGACAGCCCGGAGACCACCTCAACCAGCGATGGCCACGCCCAAGACCCAGGTAACGAAGGTGGAGGTTGAGAAACCGTCTGTGAAGCAAAACTTCCTTTTCCTAGCCTCTCAGATACACGCTTCAAAACAGCCCCATATAAGAGGGATTTTACTTCCTCCCATACTTCACTGTTAATGCAGGCTGGCGGAGCATCCTTGTCTTGAAGGGGCACCTCATTTCCTTGACTTCCATCATCTGCAAGTCCAGCAACAATTCGCAATAGTGGTAGCAACTGCTTCCCTTTGCCGACATCATTCTTACTTTCGTTGGGGCACGGGACCACGTACGCTTCAAAAAGGATACGCACCTCTTCCCTCGCCCTAATTACACCACTTAACTCATCACCACTAAACTGCAAAAGCGAATGCTCAGCATCGTGGACGAAGCCTATTGCCTCTAACCACTCAATAAACTGAAATAGAAAGAAGGATGGGGCGACATGGCGCTCCCACATCACTGAAGCCATATTGATTCGTCTGTACTTCGCCGCTGAGGGGCACGCAATAATATTTGTGAAGATAGTGTCTAAGATTTCAAGGGTCTTTCTTCGACACTCGACTGAGGCCTGACGGTGCAGAAGACGAAGCAAGCAAAGCGGCCTATTCATCATTTATATGCTGCCTTCATGAGTTTTTTCCCCCGATGTTAAATAGCAACGTCAGTGACTAACTAACAACAATAAAACAAAATAAAGGAAAATAAAAGCAAGACAGATGTATATTGCAACTGGATACAGGAAAAATCGGGGTTAATAATAATAATAAAACAAACGAACAAACAAAGATCTGTGTCTCGCACTAGAAGCACACTTGAATGCAAATTCAGACATCAAGACGACACATGTAGCAAGATTTTCATTATCACTATTTCACACATTCTCTTTTTTAACATCATCATTCTTTTCCCCAGCAGAAAGACACTCTTCTAAACTCTGCCGACGCTCATGTATTCTTGCTGTAAAAAACTGATATGGATCAGCGCATTCCTTCCTCAGTTTTCCACTGCTCAACGCATACCGCGAAAAGGTCTGTTTTTCGCCAGGTGCCAATAAAGGAGCTGAATGCAAAGACTGTGAGAATAGTTTCTCCACCTCAATAATTGGTCTTCCAATATCATGTTTCCAGCTAGGAAAGGAAAAGAAGATTTCCTCTGAACCACAGTTTTCCACAGAAGCCTCTGAACTACGATGTTTTTTTGGCCCGTGTGCCTCTTCCCCTAAATGTCCACGTTTTCGACGAACTGGCCGTTTTGCACCAACTGGCTTCGCGCGTTCTATACGTTCGTAGAAGCCATAGAAGTATATTTTATCCTCAACAAGACGCTGTAGTGTTTCTTTACAACTTTCCTCCGATTTATCACGTGGTCCACTCTGGGCCACCAGGGGTTTCAAAAGCCAGGAACGGATCCGTTGTAGGCTTTTGTCGTCCGTCGACGCGCAAACGCCTTTGTCACCATGCTCACCAGGAAAGGCTAGAGGCCCAGTGGCCAATGCAGCACTCGTGTTTTCTTCGTTTTTAGGCCCAAGAGAGAGATCATTACAAACGTTTTCTGATTTGCCGGTGGCTGAATCCTCTTCCATTCCATCAACCAACTGGCACTCCGTATTCCGAGCTTCATTTGTCTCGTGCACTTCTTTTAGGGGAGTTTGGTCTACCCAATGGGGAGGCGTGACATTCACATTCAAGCAAACCATTGTATCAACAGAAGGTAGCGCCACATCGACTGCAAACTTCGGTTCGACAGAAGGATGCTTCATATTGCCAGCCGCTAAACCCCTTATTGCAGCGTCAGCCGTGTTCATTTGATTTGACACATCACACATCTGTCAATCCTAGAACCGAAGGAGGAAAAAAAAAAAAGTATGTGCCGTCTATAAGAAAAGATAGACACAATCCAAAAAAAAAGATTTGGAAAAAGCGAACGAATAAAAAAAACGGCCTCAAGCATGTATTTTTATTTGCTTGTTTCGCGTAAAAACAAAACAAAACAAAAAGTCTTTATCAACACACATTCCTCCAATGCCAATGCATCAAAAAAAAGTACAAACCAAACCAAAGCAATATACATTCAGATACTACTCATTCCCTGTCATTCATGAAAGAGCCACAAAAGACTGTGGAAGCCACTCACTACATAAAAGCATATTCAGGTCTTTTTGTACTTCCAACTGCCGCATTGTCAAGGCTTCTTCGCAGTTTGCTTCAGCTTGACATCTAGTTCTCTCAAAAACGAGGTCGGCATTATCATCCCCCCTGCACAATAGAAGTGTGACAACGGTCTTGTGTCCACAACGAGCGGCCAGATCCATCGCCGTATTTCCCCTAAAATCTGTCAAGCTAAGAATGGAACCAACCTTCCTAATGAGAAAATCAACCATGTTGGCGTCTCCTCGAATGGCGGCAAGCATTAAAGGTGTGCGTCCCGTGTATGAATGGGGAAGATCGACGAGTGCTCTGGAACCAGGTCTAAATTGCCGACTGCTTGAGCATGAAAAGCCCAAACTATTTGAATTTACACATGTGCCTCCAGTACGGGATGGAAGAAAAAGTAATATTTCCAACATTTTTACATCGGAACACCATGCTGCGTGATGAAATACATTGAATTGAAACATGTCGCGAGGATACATTGAAGCCCCACGACCAAGCAACAACTCGACAATAGAGTGTTTTCGAAGAGCTACGGCCCACATAAGCAAAGTCATGCGCCTTTCTGTATCAACGTAATTAACGTTTTGTGGAGTGAGAATTCCGGTAAGTAACTCAACATTATCGTTTTCCACCGCCAAAAGAAGAAGCTCAATCCGGCTAGACATTCCTTTCTAGTATGAGCAAAAGTCAAAAATAAAGACAAGGATGAGAGAAAAGTATCTGCAACTTTTAGCCAAATTGGTGTTGAGGGAAAGAGAAGCAAATACAGTCCAATTCACCTCCGTTTAATTCAATAATTTAAGAGTAACTTAAAACAAAATTTCAGCTTCCTTACCAATAAGAGATCTATCATCAATTAAAAGAAAATAAAGAAAAAAACTAGATATCATGCCCGGTTGATAATCTAAAAAAAAGAGACAAAAAAAAGCACACAAGGCAAATAGATAAAAAAATAGGAATAAAGAGAGAATCTATGGATAAAACTTGCGCGCTTTTAAAATTATTCCTCAGTAAAAAGCTTCTGAGAAACTGGATCTATGATTAAATGCTCATTTGCATTGGCATTTCTAATTGATGATGCATTTCCAGCAAACCTCTCGGTTGATACACCTGGGGACGCCTCCTCAACTTCGGCACTGGTAGAAGAAAAGGGAGCAGTAGTGTTTGAAGAAAGGCTGTGTCGAAAATTCCCGGTATCTCCAAGCTTTTTTTCCCCTTGACTACCTCTAAGAAGGGTCACCGGTCGAGGAACCGTCACAGGTGTCCGTAATCGACTCAAGCCCGAATGCAAAACAGGAACATTCGAACCTTGAGCTGCAGAGGCAGGGGCCGCAAAAATAGAACTCCATGGATATACAGATGGTTGCAAGACATTACCACTCTGTATGATGGGGCTTTCTTGCGAGTTAGGAAAAATCACAACCTGGGCTGGATCATAAGGTAACTCCGGAGGCGGATTCCACGAAGGAGTGCTGTATCCAGGATGAATCTGACAACCCACCTCCAAAGGCGCAATACTTTGTATGCTGCTCGGCGAACTACCAACACGAGCTGGTGTAACCGTGTTAAAGGAGAGACGCTGAGACACTTCCTGACCAAATAATGCTTCTGGTTTTTGAGGGGTAAAATCTTGCTGTTCATGTGCAGAAGGTGCAAGGTATATTTTAATACCTGCATCCAGCGGAGATACATAATTCCCTCTTATGAGTGAAGAAGCCGATGGAGGTACCACATTGGTTACTGGCTCGTAACAATCTTCACTGCGAAGGATGATTTTCAAACTTTCTTCCACGGGAAGTCTTTTTGGAACGTCGGGGGAATTTCGTGCCTCACGTATTTTTCCTTCTGAAAGACGTACACGATTTTCTTTTGCTTCCTGTATGAAAAGTGGGCTCACCCACTGAAGCCTTTGCTCTTCCACAACAGCTTCCAATGAATTTGGAGGTGCATCTTCACCTTCTATAAAGACATTGTCGAACATGTGCAGCGCCCGACGCCACTTTCGCAGCGAAACATCCCATGTACGCTTGCTGCCTTTATTCACATCAGGCGGTGAAAGTGGAATAATGCCACCACTTTTTAACAAAGGGTCGCTCTGGACCAATTTTATCATGTTACGGTATCCTTCGGTTACAAGACCATATGAGATTTGTTTTTCGCGTTGTGCATTCCGCCTTTCCATTTCGGGAGAATTCTGAAAAGGTCGACGGCCTGCGAAATGTTTGCTCGTTTTTTTTTGGTTGGAGCATGTACTCTCAATATGAACGCTTCTTTCAGAGACCAATGTTGGCCTTACGGGAGTTTGCATACCGGCATTAAGGTTCATAATTTCGTCCACTCAGGGAAAGCAGTTCACTTCTACGGTTGCCTGAATTTAAACGCAAAAGGAGTTCAAAAGAGAAGAGGATGATGTTTGTCCTTTGATGGCCATCAGAAGGCAAGAACGAAAAAAAGAAGGAGATAAATACAGTTGATAGAAAAAAAAAATTCACTTGGGGAAAAGAAGAGAAGAGGGTAAAGGCGGCCCCACGCAGAGACACAAAAGGTCGCCCGGTTTCATTTTGCTCTGACGCGTCTAAACATATAGGTTGCCTTACATGCCACCGAAGAAACGAAGATGACGATGCTGTCCCGCCACCGCCGCGCGCACAGACGACCGGAAGGGAGGAAAAAAGACAAAGCCGCAGACCGGGCTCCAGACAAAAGAAGCACGGAAACCGACAAGGCGCCTCAAACACCTCGCGCACACCCGGCAAGAAAGAAACAGTCCAAAAAAAAAAACCAACCTACCGCCTCTTCCCCCCGCGATCCCGCGGCAAGGGCCTGCGCGGAGGCCGGGAAGCAGCAGGGCGCAATAAAATAATAAAAAAAAAAAAACGGCGGGCGGGGCCGGCGCCCGGGAACGAGGGATTATGAAAGAAAATCTCCACCCGGGCGCCCGCCCCGTCCGCCATTACTTTTCTTTATGCGGCGCACCCGTCTTTTTGGACCGAGTGGTTCGCGCGGGCGGGGGTCCCCGTATCCGGGCAGCGCCTTGCGTTCGTGTCGGGCCGACTCCGTTACCTATGTTATTCTGCCTTTGGGTGGAGGGGTGGCTTCGCACTTTTTGTGTTTCCTTTTTTAAATTTTATCTCGCAGGAGTGCGCCGTCGTCGCGCCATCTTTCTTGAAATAATGATAATAAAAACGAGAAACAATTTTCAATGAATTTCTCTTCTGTGTTTTCCTCCCTTATTACAAGGAATTTTTTTTTCTGTTGTTTGAAAGGGAATAGAGAAAGAAGGAGTACAATGCAGCGCACACAACTTATACGCAAATTAATCTCTCGTGTTGGTGCGCTTGGCGTCCTTTCCACGCGATGCCGGACTCTTCCTTTGGCAACGAAGCCTTATCTATCGGGCGTTTCTGTTCCCCTTGCTATCTCGGCGCGGTTTCACAGTGAGGGTCAAGGAGGAGGTGACGAGGCGGCCCGAGCAGGCCAATACCTTCTCAACAAGGACGATGTTTTGACCCGTGTATTGGAGGTAGTGAAAAACTTCGAAAAGGTCGATGCATCCAAGGTGACTCCGGAGTCCCACTTTGTTAATGACCTCGGACTAAACTCCTTGGATGTTGTTGAGGTGGTTTTCGCTATCGAGCAGGAATTTATTCTAGATATTCCTGACCATGATGCTGAGAAGATTCAATCCGTTCCTGATGCAGTCGAGTATATTTCTCAAAATCCAATGGCCAAGTAGGCAATCTAATAGCATCTCGTAGCGGACTGTGTGTAGTAGCCTTGGGGAACTGTTTAACTACTAAAATCGTTATGAGAAGTTGGTTGTCTGGTCGTTTTATTTTTAGGAGGAGCTAACAAACACTCCGACACAAAAACGAAAACAAAAGAAAAAGGAAAAAAAAAAGGTTATCTTTGACCCGTTTCACTTTTCATAACGCACTTCTCTTACAGGCTGAAAACAACAACAACAAGAGACGAAGGGAAAGGGGAGAGAAAGAGAGGAGGAATCGGCGATTCGGCAAAATTGTATTTCTGAGGGAAAATCGATAGAAATAAATATATTGGTCTTTCCATCGCTAGAATTTTTTTCTCCCCTTGAACTTTTTCAGTGAATCATGAGTTTCTCTTAATTTTTCCCCTTAACAATGGAATATATCTTTTTTTTTTGAGTCTTTGTTGTTGTTGTTGTTGTTTTTCCGCTCCACACTTCGTCACACTAGCAGAACAATTTTAGATAGATTATTGAAGATACAATGGCCGCACTGTGATAATGTTGACCGATGCCTTTGGAATGAGGGCTTCCGTGAGTGGACGAGACACATGAAGAAAGAAAAAGACACGGCACATTTTGGCGTATCCGAATTTTTTTTTGCCCATATTCCTTTCTTCGTGAGTGGGCCATAAACTTTTGAAATACTCAAGAAAAAAGAGTGAATTGTCATCCTGTTTTTTTTTGAGAGTATGTGAGACGTCTCGGGGAGTACGCAGGGTTTTATTGTTTTATTGGCTACATATTTTAAAATTTACACTTTTCCCATCCAGAGTGAAAATGCCCAACTACATTTTGGCCTATGATATTGCCGATTTCAACTAAAGGCTGCTGTGGCGCCCGGAACGTAGTTGAATATGCGCTTCTGATATGTGTTTCCCCCTCCCCCATGGGAATTGATAAGCTGAGTATGCAAGGTTGAACTGGGTTATTTGGACAATTTGTTATGCTCAAGAAGTATTATTTTTATTTTATGTTGTTTTTTGTTGTTGTTCTTTCTCCCCCTTTCCATTTATCTGGAACCAAAAACTGAAATGAATATTCGGGGTAGGCTGATCCGTAGTTTAAGAGCCATATTTACAGCCTTTTGAATAGCGCGAAGGCATACATATACTTACACACATATTTATATATATTGTATCAATATATATTTTTGAGTTATGTTGGGGGTGGGTGCCCCTCAAAATTCGAGCAGAACTCATCTTGTTGCTCATGCATTAACTGAAAATGTTTCAGGTAATCCGTTATCTCCTTTCAGATTCTCTGAGAGAGGGAGCGGGGATTGTGAACCGAGCCATATTAATCAGGGTCAAACACGAGAGGATCCGTTTTCCAGTGAGGAGCTAGGGCATTCTTCACTATCAAGTGAAGAGGTTCATGCCTTGCCTGCCACGTTACTTATGCGTAGTGCAAACAGATGTGTGGGAAACGTCTCCCAGGTCGAGATTGAAACGGTAGCTAATGAAGATTCGGATCCCGACTCGGATTCGTCGATTGAAAATAGTGTGGAGTATGCTCCTCTTGGGTTTTCCATTGTTGCGGGCGTTCCAGCAAAGGCGCAATATAAACCCAAGGGAGTAGCTCGTTCTATCGACGAATCCGAAGAAAGCGATAGAGAGTTGAGCTTTTCAGACGCGCCTCTTGTTGTAACGCTTCAAGATAATCGAAGCCGGGCATTGGTTCAACGTCGCCAGGAAGAAAGCATTGAGGCGGTTGAATCCGAACCTGAGGTCGAGCCAACCGAGGATGACGGAAAAGAAGAACAACTCAACGCGATTGTTATTAGCAATTTAGTGAAACGCTTGAGGGACCCCAATGCTCAAGTGACTACGAGAGACTTTGAAAATCTTGAATGGGATGATCCAAATTTTGAAGACGAGCTGAAAACATTAAAACAAGTGGCAACTTATATTGAAGTAAAAGAGACCAGGTTGAAGATGGCCAAGGACAACACCCTGGAAACTTCATCGGTTATAAATCAAAAGATAGAAGATGCCGTTATGACGCTTCCAGAGATTACAGTTGTGAGAGTCAAGGACCAGGCTGTGGAGCAAGCGAGAACTTATGCCTTGCCGAATAAAGTTGGAAAAGAAACAATGACACCAGCATACCCAAATAAACCCCTTTTGGGAGCCAACTCTGCAAAGGTTATTATGGTTGGTAGCAATGGTAAGGTTCAAGTACTGACCAAAGAGGCTTACTTGGGTTCTCGTGCTGCCAGAAAGACGAAGATGACTGAAAGTATGTTGCTGACGCTAGACGACAGTGCGGCGGCAATGGCTTCCAAAGAGGCTTACTTGGGTTCTCGTGCTGCCAGAAAGACGAGGATGACTGAAAGTATGTTGCTGACGCTAGGCGACAGTGCGGCGGCAATGGCTTCCAAAGAGGCTTGTGTAGGCTCTCGCGACGTGGAGAAAAAGAAAAGGGTGGATCAATTATTATCTTCTCAAACTAACATTCCCCTTACAAAGGAGGCCACCTTTGGTGAAGAGGAGAAACCGATGCGTAGAAAGCGTAAGGGGAATTTTTGCCATCAGTCAGTTGTTATCAGCGAGGTTCCGGATGTGTGCAATGATGAAATTGTTGAGACAGAGTACATGAATACAGAGGTTTTGGCAGGTGACACGGTTGAAGAATTCAATAAGATAAGTAGATTGCCGAGGCAGAGGCAGTTGTCCTGCAGGAATCCAGGCATTTGCTCGGTAACTGAAATTGTACCTGATGCACCAGGAAGGAATCATACTGCAAAGGAGGAAACCGCTGCTCCAGAGAAAAAAACGCACGAAGTTGCAAGGCAGCGACGTCGGCGCGTTAACAAAAATCGTTCAATTACCTTTGCGGACGTTGTGGATACGGAAGAGGTAGAGGGCGTTGTTGAAGCGTTGGAGGCGCAAGCTATTTCTGAACCATGCCAGGACAAGCATTCAAAGGAATCCCGCGGAGGCAAGCGCACACGGCATCGACATTCAAGAAATGATGTTTCTCGCAGTAACATTTCTTTTTCAATTATCCCTGATGAACTTGCGGACGCCATTGTGGAAGAAGACCAAGCGACACAAGTCTCCTTAAATGCAACACGAAATTCTGGTAAATCTTTAACGGAAAAGGAGAATCCTACCATCGTGCCGCGGCGTCTCACGGAGGCAACCGGTGCTGGGGATACTGGGAAAGCGAACGATGGTAAATCAGCTAACAAGAAACGTAGGCATCGTCATGCATCGGCCTGCCACAGGTCACGTGAATTGGAGTGCTCGTTAGTTCCAGATGCGATATGGAGTGAGATAGCTGAGAGAGAGGATGCCTTGGAATTAACCAACAGAAAGTCTGTTGCTGGCGCACAGCTAGGAGAGGAACGCTCCTCAGGCCTTCATCGCGGCGCAACCGACCCTACTTTACGATCCTTGGCGCTTGGGGGTTCTGCTAGGCGTCGGAATTCTTTCACCGGGGCACACAACAAGTTGAATACGTCTTCCAACTTTGCCGTTTTGCCGGAACCGGAGGCAGGTGAGGCTCCAGATGGCGGCATGGGCCCCAGAAGAGAGGCCAAGGCAACGAACGACGGGGAATCCGCACCGAGTGCGAAACGCAAGACCCACAAACCGCGTCGTGCGCGAAAGAACAACCCCAATCGCTCTTCGACAAGTTTCGTTCTTGTGGACGAAGAGGAAGTCGTCGAGATGAAAGAAAAGGTGGACGAGAACCTCGATACCTCCGTTTCCAAGAGAAACGTGGCCAAGGCGGGAGCAACGCGGACGGCATTGCCCAGACGTCGGGAGCGGAGACGCAAGTCTGCAGGCGGCAGCATGGTTTCCATTGAAATTTCAGGCTTGGAGACCATGGAAGATACTCTCGACAGTACACTTAACAACACCGTGAAAGTGTCGAGAGTTAAGTGACAAGAAAGAAGTGCTTGGCTAGTTCACCCGTACTTGAACAACAATAACAAAAACCAGTCGTTTTCCTTCTTGCACAAGGGGCCACCCAAGCTCTTAGCTATGCCGATTGCCCAGTGTTGGCGGTTCCTCCACACTGAGGCACGACGCAAGAAGAAGCCTCTCCTATCCATGCCAATAAGACAGCAAAAAAAAAAACAACAGTCAACCAAACTAATAAAAAAAAGATGCGGACGGAAATTGGAGACGAAGATGAAGTGCATTTTAATTTTTGTATTGACCCACCACTAGTACGGAAGAGTAAAGAGCAAGAAGCTCTTTCCGGTGGTAAATGCGGTGGTGCACCTTTATTCACCGCAGTTTAACTTTTCACTTCCGTTCCCATTGGCAGTCCGGACGTTGCTATATTCGTGTGTCTCTGAAAGAAAGAGGTGAGTGTGTGAGTAAACGAAGGAATTCCAAAGGCAACTGTCTTGCACAACCGCTTACTCGGTTTGTTTCCCCGACTCCCCCCATTTATGTATTGACATCTTTTGCCTCGACACAATTTTTTTTTTTTGTCTTCCGTGCGTGTGTGTGTGTGTTTGCCTTTGTGCTTTATTCTCCTCTTCCTCCTCCATTTCTTTCCCTCGCTTCACCCCGGGGATGGACACCCGGAGTTCATGTTAGCTACCACGCGGAAAGTGACTGCCTGCTGCGAAGTCCGACGGAGCTTTTCCAGCCAAAAGGCAAGCAGCAAACGGGGGAAAAAAAGTTTTTTCTCAGAGCGTAAAAGTTGCTGTGGCGCGAGTGGCACCGTGTCAAGTTTCGGTGAGAAGGGCGGGCGCGTGGGCGGTACGACGGTTGTTGACCTAAAGATGGGCAGACACGCACATGCCTCTGTGTCTGAAGCTCTGTTTTTTTTTTTTTTCTTGGGTGTATTCCTATTCTTTCCACTTGCCCTCCCTCTCCCTCCCTCCCTCCCTCCCTCCCTCCCTCGTGCCCTCTTTGGCTGTCGTTGTCCATAAGCGTGCGAAAAAAATGTGCGAGCGTGTGCGTCTACGCAGGAGATGTTGGCGCCCCTGGTTTAACTCCCCTCTTTCTTTGTGTATAACGCGATGCTTGTTTTCAGCGAATACTGCGCGGGAGGGCCGCGCGAGTGCAGCTGGTTTTCTTTCCCTCCCTTTCTAATGCCTCTTCACACGGAGGCGATTCCGGCGGTTGGGGGGCCCTAAAGGCCGCCACTGCGTGAGTTTCCCACGCGAGCCCAGTGATCCTGGCGCCTGTCTTTTGAATTTTCTTCGTTGTGTGGGGGCACTTGGTGACGCTTCACTTGCCTAGGGAATGCCGGGCACACTGTACCCAACCGCGATCTTTCTTTCTTGTCCTTTGTGTGCGGAAGGCAGAAGACCTCATCGAGACGCAATACATTTATGTGTGTACGTATTCCCTGCGTTACGAGAGGTTTTCTCGTTTTCTTGCTTGTACTGAAGCTCTACAACGTGTTGTTTCGCACCTGCCGTGCTAGCGGCGGTATTATTCGTTGTGACGGGGTGTGCTGTGGCGACGTTGGCGGCATACGACGCGGGCCGCGTGACTGGGAACGGCTACGGCGGCGCTGCGCGCCCACACGCACGCACAGACACGCATGCGCAACATAAGAAGAAGAAATTGACGTTTCGTTTTGTGTTCGGCGTTTACGCACAAATGCGCATTTATTACTTTTATGTCATTATTATTTTTTTGGTGTGTTGGTTTTTTTTTTTTTTTGGCGTCTGCTTGTCGTGTCCTGCGGCGAGGGAGCGGTACGGGCGGGATGTGCCGGGCTGCAACGGGCTTGGAGGGAGTTCACTGTGGCGGTGAGAGCCGATGATGCAGGCGGTCGCCGAAACACTCCTGCCTTCGCTTTCTTCCTTTTTTTCTCTGGCTGCGTTGCCGCTGCGTGGGGGTGTAGGGCGAAAAGTTCATTTGCATTCTTGTCCCATGGATGGATCTGTAGTATTGGCCGCGGAGTCCTCGCCGTCGACTGACGCGCGCGACATCCTCATCCTAGTGGGCCAGCGGAGCGTCGCGGGAGGAGGTGGCGGGCGCCGGGAGCAGACCCGCTGCATTGTCTTTGATGCGATCCCGTGCGCCGACATGGAGGTGATCATGGAGCAGGTTGAGTGCTTGGAGCAGGTGCTCCCATGCGGCATCTGCGTTCTGGGCGTCTCGCTCCCAGGCGATGGCGCGAGGGAGATTGTGGGTCTACGCCGCTTTCTCAAGGATCACGCGCAGGTCTCTGCTCTGTTTGCTGCGACCCACGATGGGGCGGGGAAGGTGCAGTGCCAACTCCTGCATTCAGGAAAGACGCTGACGGTCACCACACTTGAAACGAGGCCCGTGTTTGCCACAATGGCGTGCTACTTTAATTCTCCCTTGGGCCTGTTTCCGTTTATCGTCCGCTCCAATGGCGCAAATTTGAACCATAGCGTCGCTGTGGACGTGACGAGCACGACGGTGCTGGAGCGCAACGGGATCTGGGACTCGGTGGATGGTCTTTACGCGGTACAGCTTGGCGGCAAAGAGGGCAAAGAGGAGGAAATGATGTGCGTGCATGTGACGTTTGCCCCGCTTTTTTCGTGTGGCCGAGACGTGTACCGCGCCATATGTTCACTTTTGCCGAAGGTCGCGCAAAAGCCAGGAGGTGCGCTGGTGCGGGTGGAGTCGCAGCGGTACCCTGCGCTGCTCTATCAGTGGATCTTTACGCCTGCGAAGAAGGGCACAACCACCCTCTCCATGGAACAGTGGAACGAGCTGCGGGAGCTGATTGAGGACGGCGTGGGGGAGGAGGTGCAGCCATCGCAAGTAGTGACGGAAACATTTCTGGGGTCGCCGCCAGCTCCTGTAGAAGCCGCAAAGACGTGGAAGACGGACGCGGCGAAGAAGCCGGAGGAAGGCGTGCCCGCAAAGAACTCCGCCCAGCTTGCGGGGGGCGGAGTCAGCTGCTGAGGTACCTACCCCCTCTCTTGGTTGTGTGCTGTGCCCTTTTTTGGGTCTTACTCTGGTCGAAGTGACGCGCAGGAAGCCAAGTTCACAAGCAAAACAAGGACATCTCAGTGTGCGTGTTTGTGTTGGCACTTTTCCTGCCATTCGAGGGGCATCACTGCGTTGCAACGATTGTCTGCCGTTTCACCTCCCCCTTAATTGTTGTTTTTTTGTTGTTGTTGTTGTTTATTCAGCTTTCTTTTCTTATGTAGTTGTCCGTTACGGACACGTTTGACAGATCAGAGGTAGAATGCTTGGTCCATGCTTGTGTTTATTGCTTGCGTGCTTTCCCCCCCTCTCCCTTTCTCGCTGCCGTCACCGCGTCAACTCGTTTCGTTTCAGAAGATAAAAAAATGAAAGATGAATAAACGCGTGCTCTTTGTAACTGCTGTCTTTTTTTTCCTCCTTCTATTTTTTCCTTCTTATTCTTCTTCTTGCTCTTCTTCCGCCGCTGTGTCTTGAATCATGCCGTCTGCAGCCGCTTTCCGTGTGATTGACAGGAGGCGAGAGGGAGGGGGGGAGCGAGCGACAAGGAGACGGGGCGGGGCAAGTAGTGGGTGTCTGGCGCGGCTCGAGCGATGGGAATTCTGGGCCTTTCGAAGCTGCTGTACGACCGGTCGCCCAGCGCCATCCGTGAGCATGAGCTAAAGAGCTACTTTGGTCGTCGCATTGCCATTGACGCCTCCATGACGATCTACCAATTCCTCATTGCGATGAAGGGCTTTCAGGATGGGCAGGGGGTGGAGCTAACGAATGAGGCGGGGGAGGTCACCTCACACTTGAACGGCCTCTTTACCCGCACGCTGCGGATGGTGGACGAGGGTCTGAGGCCCATCTACGTTTTTGACGGTAAGCCGCCGACGCTGAAGGCGTCGGAGCTGCAGGAGCGGCGGCAGAGAGCTGAGGAGGCGCAGCAGATGTTTGAAACGGCCAAGGAGGAAGGCAACGACGAATTGATGGAGAAGATGAGCAAGCGAACGGTGCGGGTGTCGAAGGATCAGATGGAGGAGGCAAAGAAGCTATTGCACCTTATGGGCATTCCCGTTGTTCAGGCGCCATCGGAGGCTGAGGCGCAGTGTGCGGAGCTGGTGAAAAAGCACAAGGCCTGGGCTGTTGCGACGGAGGACATGGACGCCCTCACGTTTGGGGCGCCAGTGTTGCTACGGCACTTGACGTACAGCGAGGCAAAGAAGCGGCCCATCGCGGAGTTTCACCTGGATGAAGTTTTGAGTATGACCGGGTTGACCATGCCCCAGTTTATTGACCTCTGCATCTTGCTTGGTTGTGACTACGTGCCCAAGATTTCCGGCATCGGCCCGCAGAAGGCGTGGGAGGGCATCAAGAAGCACGGCGACATTGAAACGCTTCTGCAGTCGCTCGACGCCGCGCGGCACAAGGTCCCGGACGGGTTTCACTTCGAGGAGGCGCGGCAGTTCTTCCTGGCGCCTGAGGTGACCCCTGGGGAGGAGGTCGAGGTTCAGTTTCGGGAGCCGGACGAGGAGGGGCTCATAAAGTTCCTGGTGGAGGAGAAGCTCTTCAATAGAGAGCGGGTGGTGAAGGGAATTCAGCGGCTCCGCAGCGCATTGACGCGAAAGACGCAAGGCCGCCTGGACCAGTTCTTCACCATCAAGAAACCGGCTCCGAAGCCCAACACCGGTGGCGCAGCGGCCGGTGTGAAGCGGGGCCGCAGCGCCATCGCGTTGTCGGGGACACTGCAGCAGAAAGGAAGCGGTGGGCATAAAAAGGTGGTTAAGAAATAAAGTTTCGATTCCACTGTTTTTTTTTTTCGTTTATGTTTGCTCGCGACAGAGTTTGCTAACGCATCCATAGAAAGATTTTGGGCAGGGACCGCGGGTCATCAGGAAGAAGGAGGAGAAGGAGCGAAGTATGACATTGGAGAGGGGGGCCTGAGGGAGTGCGTGCGTGTGTGTGCGTGTTTGTCTCTGGATTGGCGTTGAGGCCGATTTCCCTCTCTCTCTCTCTCCATCCTCTTCGCTTCGTCGTCGCGGCTTTACATTCGCATTTTGCCTCTACGCGCGTGCTCTGAACTACTGGAACGAATAATAAAAAAAAGGTGTCTGTGTGTGTGTGTTAGTGATGTCGGGGGCTCTTGGGCGCGGATCGTACCGCTCGGTCGTGGCGGGGACGCGTAATGCGCCAAGGCGCATGACGTTCTACCCCTGTGCGTTCGAGCTGCTGCAGCTCCACAAGGCGCACAGGGAGGTGATACGCCACTTCTACGTTAGGGACAAGATCTTTGACAACAAGTTTCCCGGCACGGCGCTGGCAAATGGTTTGTTCAAGTTTGTTCCCAACCGGCGTGAGGCGTACCACATGCGTGAGGTGATGGAATCCATTCGCCGCCGCTCAATACTGATGCGTCGCGTTCAGCAGCAGCAGGCGATTAATGCCAAGGTAGCAGAGGCGTTGGAAAAGGAGCACGGCAAGGCGGCAGCAGCGGCGATGCTCGACTTCACCACGCCCGATTCCGACGCCTACTTCAACCCACAGCAGTACCAAAGTGTTGCGAATGCGTGGCCAAACTACTGGCAGCACCCTGGCGCCGCACACGTAGTACCCAAACCCCGCTGGCGTCGTGTGCCGGAGCTTGGCGGCATTACACGCGTGCAGGACCCGTTGACGGAGCAGGCGAACGACTACTAGTGTCGCACGCCGTGCAGCACGCCCCTGAGGAAGGTGTTGGCGTGGAATTTGTGGACAAGGAGGTTGCGACTCACATGAGACGTTGCCACCTCCTTTTTTTTTTTTGCTTTCTTGCCTTTCTTCCTCCCCACCCATCCCCCTCACTTTTTTCTTTTGTTCTAACTCCGCGTCTGCGTGTGCCGTTTGGGGCGTGCCCCCTTCTCTTCTTCCCGTTCCTTTTTTTTCCCTATTGACGTGGGGTAGCTCTACAGGGGTCTCGCAGGAGGCGAGCGAGAGAGGGAGGAAGCGAGACGGAGCTCAGTGCATGACGGATGCGGATGACAAGCTGGCAGACTACTGGGCGTGGTGTGCGCAAAATGGCGTCGTAAGCAAAAAGCTGTTGCTGCACAGGAGCGTGCAAGGACTCATGCCGCAGTTCTCTCTTTGCCTTAATGAACCCGTGCGTGCTGGCGCGGTTGTGGCGACCGTGCCGTACCTTGTGACGCTGAACGCACAAACGATTAGGGGGGACATGAAGCCCGCCGCGGTGCCCCCTGTCCGTGCGATGTGTGCATTTCTGGCACGGCGTCGTCGGATGGATGTTGTTACCGCGCGGGCCCTCTGGCTTGCCTGCTGTTTGGCGTGCTACAGGCGGCTGCTTCTGCAGGGACACGCGTTAGGCAACGCACCTCTTTTTTCGCGCCGGCTAATGCCAGAATTACCGTCGCCCTTTACATCGGCGCATATCCAAGCCTATCCGGCCCTCGCCGCCGCCCTACCGGAGGGCGTGAATGACGGTGCCGCGGAGGAGTCGTTCCTCTCACCGCTGCGGAGACAAGTAGAGGGGCAGCTGCGTGCCACGCATGCCGCGCTGCGCTTCTATCAGCGGCGACGATCACCGCATCTGTCGCAGCAGCTTGTGCCCAGCTTTGATGAGCTGCGCATGGCGTACCGCACGGTGCTTCATCGCAGTCTCTTGTTGCCTGTGGACTGCGTCCCGTCGTCGCCGGGTGACTTGGCGGACTTGTTCAGTGAGCGCCCCGACCTCGATCTCTTGCCGACGCTTGTGCCACTTGTCGATGTTATTCGAAGCTCCGCCGCAGCACGGGGGTCGACGGAGGCCGCGGGCAGAGACGCGTGCGGGGGGCGGGATGACGGCACTGCGGCGAATTGTGCGCTGCACACCTGCACACACGCCGACTTTCTCTCCTCCGGGAGTCGGCGGCGTGTCGTTTTTGAAACCGAGCCCCTTTCCAGCCGGTGCGTGGTGGTGTGCGCCACACGAGACCTGAAAGAGGGGGAGGAGCTCCTGCTGGACTACGGCTCTGCGTGAAGGCGACACAATTGTTTAACTTTTACTTACCCACACTGCCGCATTCGCCCACGCCACTGCCTCTCACCGTAGAGGTCTAAGGGAGTGTGGTGTGCGGGCAAGTGCATGGGCGCGGATGAGTTCCCACGGCTGGGTTGCCCGCCCTGCTCTCTCCTCGCCTTCCATGCCCTGTTGCGTGTAGGCCATCCTCCTCTCTTCTGCAAGTTATTGTCGTCTGCGTCCAGCAGTGAAGCGTATCACAACGCAAGGCTTGAGCGAAGGGACGAACGACAAGGCAAACAAAACAAAACAAAACAAAAAAAAAGAAAAAGAGTGGGGACAATGGAGTCAAAGAGGCTAGATGTGAAGAAATCTGTGGACTACAAGAGCACCTCTAGGGCGAGGTTGGCCTTTCAAAGGGGGGACTTGGAAATGTCTCGGCTTGAGCACTCAAAGCCGCTTCCCCACACCGAGTTTCACAGCTCTGCCGCCACCGACTACATCAAGTCGGTTGTGTTCGGCGGCCTCGATGGCATAATGACGACCTTTGCGATTGTTGCTGCGGCCGTTGGTAGCAACAACAGTTACGCGACAATCCTTGTCTTTGGGTTTTCCAACGTCATTGCCGACGGGTTTTCAATGGGCTTTGGGGAGTACGTCTCGAGGGAGGCGGAGCGGGAGAATGCCCGGGCTGAGCGTCGCCGAGAGGAGTGGGAGGTGGAGAATGCCTTTGACCTGGAGGTAGACGAAATGGTTCAAATATATGAGGCAAAGGGCCTCTCGCACGAGGACGCCACAACAATTGTAAGCATCATTTCCAAGGACCCAAAGCTTTTTGTGGATTTCATGATGACGGAGGAGCTCGGACTGCTGTTAGACCTCGACGACGCACACAGCCCAAAGAAACAAGGCCTCGTCATGTTCATCTCTTTCCTCTTGTTCGGTGCCATCCCGCTGCTGGCGTACCTTCCCGGGAAAGGCAAAGGCGTGGATGTCGTCTTTGCGATCTCGTGCATCCTGGCGACCGTCGCCCTTCTTGTCCTTGGGTCACTGAAGGGGTACTTAACCGGCGTCGGCATCTGCTGTTCCGCCGCACTGATGGTGATTAATGGCATTATCAGCGGCCTCGTCAGCTACTTTGTCGGCATGGCGATCGAATCCCTTCTCCGTGCGGAGTTTCTTGACACAGCATAGTTTCCGTCGCGGCTTGTCCTTTTCCCCTTCTCTCTCTCTCTCTCTCCCTCCCTCCCTTTCGCTTCCCCGCCATCGACCCGGCGGCGGTGGGCGAGGGGAGCTGGCAGGTGGGCACTCGTAGAGGTGAGAGGCGAAAGCGAGCG